ATACTTAGATAGTTAGTAGGAAACTAGTTATTACAGTACTACGTAATACTAGTAGATTAATAGAAGTAGAAATAAAAGTAGTTTACTTTTATAGAATACATGGTATAATAAACCCTATTTAGGTTTACTTCTTCTACCTAAACCACTTCTTAGTCTACTTTAGATAAATATGGCTACTGTAAACCGGTTTTGTACCGTAGTGTAACGTGCATAAATGTCTTGGCATCCGGTATCGACCTCGTTGCGAAAGCTAACAGCCGCGTCGAAGTACAAGAAACGCTCAACATGCTCAAAGAGGTCAGGGCATAGTTGATGAGGCGGCAAAAGATTTCGATCAAGTCATCCAAGCAGGCTGGACAGGCAAGCTCTCCAGTTTCTCATCTTTAAGCAGTGGTATTGCAGATGTTGGAAACAACGCAGAGGTTCAACAAGAAAAGTTACCGGTACTGCCTGAGTTACAACATCTTGATTACTTGGCGATTGAGAAAGACCATCGATGGATGCATGAAGAGGATTACCGTGCGGCTTGGATTGCCGAGGGCTGTGAGATTCTAGATCAAATCTGGGACTGATTCATAAAGGCAAATCATGTTTGATCGTACACGGAGGCTTTGCGCAGTCGGGACCAATAATCTCCAAAGTCTTATAGATGACCCGAAAAAAGAAACAATCTAGATTGGCCGTGGTCAACAGCACATTTGGCTTGCATCCCCGTAGCATAATCGGAAAGCTAAGACCTCTCGCAGTGCGTTCATGCCGAAGGTTATGATTATGGTGCATGCCAGGCCTCCAACAAAGCCGACGGGGTTCAACCATGCGGTCAAGATGTTAGTATCCCCTGCATACCTAACCACAACTTACAAGTTGCATTGAAAATACTAACTAAAGATGCGAATAAGAACTCGTGCCACAATGTAAATAGCCAATGTACTTTCGACGGCGTTAGCCCTGATTTTGCAATGTGTAAATAAACATGGCCTGGTTTCGTGCAATGTTTGGGCTTTTTTCCTCCTTGTCTACATGGTGTTACGCTATAACACCACTCTAGCGCATACCATATAACTCTACCATTGTACCATGTACGATACGCGCCATACAACACTGTATTATGGTAGAAGAAAACAGGAGTGAAGTAGTCAGATGGCGCCCATGCTCATGATTAATGGCAGGCTGCCTGATCGATGGTAGCCAAAACCAAAAGATAGGTATACCATGAATCCTGATAGACCTTCAAAAAAAACCTCCAACTGAACACACTCCTACCGGTACTACTTGCTGTATAAAGCACGTCTTGTCTTTGATGTGACGAACCCTCGACTACACAACAAGCACTATAGAACATGGCAATGTCAAGACGCAGGTCCACTCCCACTACGCCAAGCAACCTAAAAGGCACGCATACGGTATTTAACTTCTGAATAAAGATTAGTGCACACGGCGCTTGTCACTACGGTACAAAACCGGTTTACAGTAGCTATATTTATCTAAAGTAGACTAAGAAGTGGTTTAGGTAGAAGAAGTAAACCTAAATATAGTTTATTATACTATATATTCTATAAAAGTAAACTACTTTTATTTCTACTTCTATTAATCTACTAGTATTACGTAGTAATACCTAGTTTCCTACTATTTAAGTATTTTACCCCTCCTTTCTTTAATCTTCTTCACCACCTCCACCTCTACTACCTATACCACCACCACCTCCACCACCTCCACCACCTCTATTATCACCACCTCCACCACCTCCACTACCTCCACCACCTCTACTACCTCTACCACCTCTACTACCTCTACCACCACCTCTATCACTACCACCACCTCTACCACTACCTCTACCACCACCTCTATCACCACCACCTCTATTATCACCACCACCTCTATTATCACCACCTCCTATTAGTAAAAATATCATGACTTATTATTATGTCATATATGCGTATAGCGTAAAGCTAATCTTTTCTACCCCTTTTAGTCTTAGTTAGGTATTATAGCGTATAATAGAAATAAAACTACTTTTTATACTTAATTTAAACCCCTACTATAAAAGTAAACTACTACTTTAAACCTATTTATAGGTATATATAAGGTTAGTTTACACCTATATAGTAAACCCCTAGCGTACTATTCTATAGTAAACAATTTTTTACTGTAGTGTGTCTGCTTACTACAAATAGACGAATCATCTGCTACATCGTTTGCCTAGGTAGGTACGGTATGAGATCTTGTCGTGTTAAACCATACCAATGTTAGCAGCGTCAGACACATACAAAGAGCGCACAATAACCTCGTTTCACTTTCAGCCCCAAGACAGCGGGTCAACAGAACAAGAGGTTACATTTCCGGCTGTAGACTGTAGAACACGCCAGTCTCTAGCAAACAGATATACAAGCTACTAGTATCCATACGAGGCAAGATTTCTCTCCTCATCTTCTACAATTACAGAAACATGGAGGTTGAAGAGCTGGTAATTCTGGGGGACACGACTGCACTCCAGCACGGGCCGGTATTTTGTGAGCTCTGAATTCTGGACAAGTTTCGCGGCACTGGAGCTGACTGTATTGCAAATCTATCGGTACCTTTTTTTGGGGGGGGATTAAACGGTACAGTTGAACTTTTTTCTTGATTGATCACAGAGCACTGTACGGGCCCGCCATTGAACCGCGTTCAATATAGTAAGCTGCGCCCATTCCCTAAAACTCAATAATCAATCTCTTCGCCAATTCTCAAGTCCCTGTATCCTTCAACATCACCAACAGCCAATATGAAACTATCCACAGGTTTCATCCTCATCTGCATTTCTAGCACTTGCGGTGCCCTGGAATGGGTACGTTGAATCTCTATCCACGTCCTACCAAAGCAATGCAGCCTAGGTATGGAAAATGGAAGGGGCCGGACATGGCTATTGTGCAAATCACAGATACAGATTTAAACAAGACTGCTGGAGTGTGAGTATCTATTGCGACCATGGATAGTGGCAAACATCATGCTAACTACAAGGACAGGGAAGCCCGTGTATCAAGGACGGCACTGAATGTTCGCCTGTTTCATTCATGGATGCCGATAGACCATATTCACAGTGTTCGCCAGCTACGCCGGTACACAGTCCGCCGACCAAGGTGTGACCGTGTGAGCCAATGTATGCGTAGGACCAATGATGGCAGCCATTACAGCGTGAATGCGGGTTACTCGTATTCTGCGTCCTTCCAAGCCTAGTAGTTCATCAAGTGCCGTTCAAACCGCTCGAGTAAAACAAAAAATCCATACATGTTGAACCATATTCCGCCTCTTGTGCGCGCAAAACAGTCTGACCAGCAAACCTGAATGCAACGTCTCCCTCGGTGTGATTACATGCCATGCACATTGTAAGCCAGCTATCGGCCCAATACCCTGCCCGACCCTTCCGACTCGAATTTCGCCCTCTCGATTGTGAACAACACTGGCGCACTCGTTTCAACCTGAACCTCGTCCGCCTTGACATGATTACTCGTGCTAACCTGCCCACCGATTCTCGTATCCCAGTCCTTGACATCCCACTCCAGTCCAGCCGTAGTAATGACTGCAGGACCATAAAAAGGCACAATGCCCACGTTTTCCGTAAACACTTGGCTCGACTGTAGCCCACCGATGATGTTCCGTTGACTTCTCAGGATGAAAGAAACACTGGACTCGGAGAAGAGCCAGAGTCGTAGTTGTGGATACTTGGTCTCTTCCCTAATCATCTCGTGCAACAAGCCAAGTCCCTGATCGACTCTGCCCCCAAGCGTGCCGAGCACAAGGACATTCCGCGATGAAGTCGATGATACTCTAGACGATATCTTCTGCATCGTCTTGCCAAAGTCTGTGCTGTACTGGTCAGGATCTCGCGACACTTGGACATTGTGCGATGCGTAGTAGTCGCGTACATTGTCCCGTAACGAGTCTAGATCACCGTGCACAAGATCAGGTAGCTACTACATGTTAGAACCGCCCCGACCCCGACTCAATAAATGCCTCCTTACATATTGCTCTCTAAGTGTTTCCAGATCTCCGCCAAACATGTCGTAAAGCCTGTTGGCGCCCCCATCCGCACATACCCGAAAGCCAGAGTGCTGCCATAGTCGCGAGAAGGCCGCGAAGTCAGCAATGGGCTGATTGAGTATCAGCAGATAGGGTGATGTAGATGGCTCCGAGTGTGCGTCCTCGGCCAGGAATTTGGCGGGATGAAGTCTATGGAGGTCAGACAAAGTCATGTCTGCGATACAACAATTAAATCTAGGATATACAGCAGTATAGTCGGCCGCTGGTGTGGTCATTCATGTATTGATGGTAGGATCCAAGAAAAGAGCGCATGGTGCAAGACGTGCAGTTGATAATCAGAAACTGCTATAAACTTTCAAGCTAGACGTTGGGGACTTGACGTAGCGAAACGCGCTAGGCGTACTACGGTACCCGTAGACGTCAACTTATCGCACCGAAAGTAGAACACGTTAAGCGTTAGGTTGTTGCGACTACATCCCACCATCAACACTTCGACAAACGTCAACATTGCGATCCTCTTGGCTTGGACTACTATCTACACGGACTATCAGAGTGGCGTGTTCACGATTATGGTAATGCTTCCCAAGCAGATGGCTGGTAGTATTCGCCACGCGCCCATCACCTCTCCTACCACCACCTCCGTAACGACGTACATTTCGCGTCGTCCAATTACAGTGGATTAAATTGCAGACTTTGTACATGTTCCCTTTCTTTGAACTTGTGTGACATGCGCATATAAGAACCATGTACAGCTTTCATAACCGATTACTACCAATCCATCATAAAAGCGCACTACCAGCTCTACATAGACAATCCCAATAAATATTCAGATCAGATTAGGAGATGTGCGTGCTTGTGATGTGAATAGTGAGATGACAAAAAGTTGAGCGCGTGGATTGTGATTCTAAATACACAGAAAAAACAAGGCACGCCGTGCATGCACCACATGCCCACAGCGCGGGCGATGACAGGATAATCAGAAACCCGGGCACGGTGCACGCAAACCCAATTATCCATTAATGGATTTACCCGCTTCCAGGTTCTCGGCGTCCCGATCGTCAACGTCCTTGACATGCCCCGTAGCCGCCGCCATGTCCTGATCTGCAGCCACATCAAAGTCCCTGCCTCGATACTCCGGGCCCAAGATCGTTAACAGGATAACAGAGGCATACACGCAGCCCATGAGGATGCAAATCACAAGGCCGTACTTGTACCGCTTCACCGCACCCTTTGGCGGCAAGGGAAACTGCTCACCAATGGTGGCTTCAATCGTCGACGACGCAGACGAGACGAGATTACCCAGCTGGTAGCTTGTGCCGACGACAAAGGTGCGGAAGGAGCCCGGGGAGAGCTCCATGAGGTGGATGGGGACGACGCCCCATGCGCCCTGGACGCAGAATTGCTCGAAGACGGCGGCGGCGATGACGGCGTTAGAGGAGGTGAAGGTGTATGGGTATAAGAGCGCGCCGCCGAGGATACACATGACGACAATGCTAAAGCGGCGGCCGAAGATGGAAGAGCTGTAACCTACAAAGGTACCTCCGCACATGGCACCCACATTGGCCATAACTTGGATGACGGTGACTTGGTTCTTGGAGAAGTTGTATTGGTTAGTCAGCATGGTTGGATAAAGGTCTTGACTGCCGTGGGACATGAAGTTGAAGCCTGTGCCTCGTCATCAGTGCTGCTCAATGGAAGTCATCGGATAGTAGTAAGCTCACCGGCCATGAGAAGGACCATGTAGATCAACAACAACCAGTGTCGCTTCAGTGCGACTTTACCCTCTTCCAAAAAGACCTTGGCGGCGTTGGGTTGCTCTTCACGGAGACGCTGACGCTCCTGGTAGGCCAGTGTTTCTGGGAGACAGATACGGAAGATGATGATGAGCACAGGTGGTCCGGCACCGAACCAGAAAAGAGGTCGCCACTCATGGCCAACGGTATCGACAAAGGCGCGAGCGAATACGGTGGCAAGAAGGTATCCAAACGCATAACCTGAGTGCGAGGAATCAGCATGCGCAGCTTTGGGGAGTATGGCGCGCTACACAGAGAACTCGGATGTGTCCTTACCTTGCTGGAGCATTCCAGAAATGAGTCCTCGTGCTGCTTCAGGACAGTCCTCCAAAGCTGACGGAGATTAGTATAATTGGTCACAGTTGGCCACGACTTGAGCAGCATGTACCTGTAGCAGCAGCATTCCCATACAGACCCCCCATCGCGATACCAAACAGTGCTCTCACGGCAAGGAACTCTTTATAGGTGACGCAGAACCCCGTTGCCAATTCCAGCACAATGAACAGCAGATTGTTGATGATAAATGTCCACTTCCTCCCATACCGGTCGGCAGCCAGGCCAAAGACAATACTGCCAACAGACCTTAACATCAGTACTAGCGTGATACCCCACGTGATGTCCACTTTTGTCTTTCCAAACGTCTCGGCCAGATTCTCCACGGTGAGGGATACGGTGAAGAAGTCGAAGGCGTCCCAAGTCCAGGCAAAAAAGGCGACGAGGAAGAAAAGCCATTGCTGCAAGTTGAGCAGGCGCAGCAGGGTGATGGGATTGGCTACTTTGTCGTGGGCTGGTTTCAGGGTTGCCAGGCGCGTAGACAGGTAGCGGCCAGCCGATGTCTTGGGAACAGGGACAACATCTCTCCGTTCCTCTGATGCGTACTTTTCATCCATGACGTATGAAAACAGCAGGCCCTGGCTGCGTCATACAGTGAGCAGGCGGACTCGAACTGGTAGAAGAGGAGCTGCGGTGGACACTGCAGGGCTGGAGTAGAGCCGAGATGAATGGAGCCGAGATGAACTGGAAAATGGCGAGGGATACGACGAGTGGACCTGCGTTGCCAACAAGGCTGGGGAGGAGGGGCAGCAAGTTGGTCACTGACTACCTCGTCCGGGGAAATCGTCGCTTTATAACGCTGTTCCCTCCCAGCCCGGCGGAGGTCGGTTCCATTATTCTTGCAGGCCTCACTTCGCTACCCCACACACACAAAGGCCGATGATCAGTTCTGTATCCAGTTACACCGCATGAGAAATAATACTTGTAGACAGCTGTCTGTGCATCCTCCCACGGCGGCCTGTGAACAGGCCTTTTCGGCGTGCAGATGACGACTCCGCATCCTCGTCGACACAAGTACGATCGAATGATGCGTTGAGGGGAAAGGCCACGATGGTGGAGAAGAGTAGGGTCCCCCTGCTGGGCTTATGTGGGCGGAATGCTTAGTGGCAATTAAGCGTTGACAGGGCGTTGCTTGGTGCGTTGCTTGAGTAGCTGTAGAGCCCAGTCATGTCGAGAGGTGAGGTGAGGGGCCGAGTTGTTGACCCGACCAATGCAGATGCAAGACCCTCCCGGTGGAAACAAAACGCCTACAAAGAAGCTTTCCCTAGCACCGCCAAAAGGCTTGTAAGTGCCGCATAAGCTTGGCAGCCCACACCCCTTGAGCATACCTAAACGGTTGGCAGCTTCGCCCACTGGGGAAATCGGCCGTAACCTCGGATACAGAAGTCTGGCTACCATTCTTTTCTTCCCATTCTCTCGAGAAGACATGGATGCTACCCCTGTCGACCCCGCACACCTATGCTGCCGAAAGCGCCCGTGAACATGCCACCCCCCCTCCAAAAAAAAAATTAAAAAAATTAAAAAAAATTGCTATGCTGATACTATACGCTGCTCTCGTACACTCGCTATGCTGGTAAACAGGATGGGATGATGTTGCTTCGTCATACATATCGTCATTGCCATTGCCATTCCCATTGCCATTGCCATTGCCATTCCCATCACGCCTGCCTACTACTCGTTGCCCTTGAACCTTCTGCCTCACTGTTGCACTCCTCCGTCAATCGCTCCAACTCGGTCATCCTCAACGCCTCCTCGACGCTATGCACAAAGTGTCTTGGCCCCCCACACATTTCAATGATGCCGCTCTTGTCAAAGAGCTGATATACGGCACTTTGCTCATTAGGCACACGGCAGAAGAACACCCTGACGCCTCGTTTACGGTATGATTCTACAATCTCAGCAAGCACCTGCGCACCCGCACCGTCCAGCGAGGTCACGCCGTGGACGTCGAAGATGATGTTTTTGTTATGTTCTGCCCGCCGTACCCGGGGCAGGGCTGGATGCGCTTTATCCGTCCCGTGATCTTCAAGACGACGTAGGCGGTTCTTCAAATTCCCTGTGTTGGCAAACGTGAGCGGTTCAGGAATCTTGACAATAAGACAGCCCTCGATGAACTCGACCATGTCAGAGTCAATCTCAGCATTGGCGAAGCGGTTCGTGCTCCCAGGCACACGACCCAGGATTTGAATGCGTGGACGAACCGAATGGCGGATGAGGCGTAGAAGCGAAAGGCCAATGCCCACGCCAATTCCGCGTTTGAGATCCCATACAATGGTGATGACGAAAATGAGACCCATGAGTACAAGTTCGGACCAGCCGCGAATGCGGAGGAAGAATTTGACATCGTGCGGTGCCTCCTCGACAAGCGAGTAGGCTACCACGGAGACCATGGCGCAGAGAACGCCTTTGGGCAGGTAGTAGAAGTAGGGTAGCATGAAGAGAGTGCATAGGATCGTGATGAGCGAGAGAAACACGGAGCTCATAGGTGTAGTGCCCCCTGTCGATGCATTGACTTTAGATCGGCCGTAGCCACCAAAGGCCGGCAGAGCCATGAAAAGTCCACCCGTTATGTTTGCAGTGCCCAGGGCAATCAGCTCTCGATTGGCACTGAGCGGCATTTGCACTCCGTCCTTGGTGTGATCGCCGCCGCCCAAGGACTTGGCTGCAACAGAGGACTCGAAGAAGCCCAGCATCGCAATAATCAGGGAGGTGTTGATGGCGTCGGAGGCGTACTTGAGGTGTGACGTCTCAAACGGAAAGTGAATAGAGAATATGCGCCCTCCACTTGAATTGACGTTTCCAAGGACGGCAAGACCTTGTTGGTCGAGACGGTATCGCCATGTGAGGAGGGCAGATAGTACAACTACTACAAAGCGATCGGGGATATAAGCAACATTGGGATACCGCGGTTGCAGGCGCTTCTTCAATTCCCTGTGGTTGTGTCAGCACGATCCTCGTTTCTCGCAGGAAGTGGTGGTATCTACCTGAAAAACATGATGATGGCAAATGCGGTAAATGAAATCGCACAAGTAAGTCCATGTGCCTCTCCAACATGACGGAATAGGAAAACGACCTTGTCCAGACAACTTCCGTGAGAGACCTCGTCTGCAGCCAACCTCGCCAGTCCCATCTGTGGAATCAGCTGGTCAACGAAAATGACGACACCAATGGCACTGATGAAACCGCGCAAAAACGGACGGCTCAAGACATTGTCCAAGAAGCCCAGTCTGAAGAAGCCGGCAATGAGGATGAAGGCGCCAGCAAGACAAGTCACAATGCCAGCAATTTCAGCATTCCTCCGTCCATCATTGTCTCCAGAAGTGCCCTTTTTGATGTTCCCGCGCACAAGTTCACCCACGAGCAAAGAGCCTGGCGCCTCCGGGCCAACGATCATCTGCGGACAGGTGCCTAGGATGGCGTATATAAGGGGATTAAGAGCAAACGAGTAGAGGCCGTGAACGGGCGGCAGATGGGCGAGATTAGAGGCGTAGGATAGCGCCATGGGAATGTAGAACGAGGCCATGGTGATGGCGGCAACCAGGTCGCCCTTGAGGTAGCGCCACTTGTACTGGCGAGTCCAATTGAGGAGTGGGATGTAGTAGCGCAGATACATCATGCGCTTGTCCTTGATGCCGTGGCGCTCAGCCAGCCACCAGGTTGTACTCTTGCCCTGGCCGTAGCCCTTGCCACTGCCAGCTCCTGCGCCCTGTCGGGCCTCTCCCTGGAGAAGGGCAGGACTACTGCCAAAGCTCTGGATCGAGTGCACGCTGCCTGCGAAGCTTCCGTAGTCGCGGTCTAAGACTGGCCGCGTGGGACCCATGTCTTGCCCATCTTGCTTTAGTAGGCGGGTGCGTTCTGTTGGCTCCAGATCGATTTCAATGATGCCGCCATGTGGCCCTGCCGTTTCCTGGATTGAATGTATGGAAAGGTTGTCGGCTGCGGCCCGTGTACCGCCAGGACCAGTGGCCAGGACGAGACGGTAGGGGTGATGGCTGTTCGAGGGATTTGCAGCGTCTTGATCGTAGTAAGGGTTGGGATGCATGGTGTCTTCGGGCGAGCTCGACCTGTCCGAAGGTGCGTGAGCCTGTCGCAGCTGGCTGGGGGTGGCGGGCGCGTGGGCATGGCGGGCGCTGGCATTGGACGAGTCGCGCGAGTGCGAGGCCTGTCGAGCAGCCGAGCTGTCCTCTGCGCTGTTTGCTTTTGGGGTGGCCATGCTCGATCGAGGAGACAAAGTAGTGTGTAGCTGTATATGCTACTTGCTTATGGCAGTCGCTACAATTGTGTGTCGAATGCTAACAAGCTGACCGCTTTTCAACCGCACTCTGGTAGGACGAAGAGGGTTTCCGGGCTCGACAGTAGCGTCTTCGCTACAGCTTCCATAGCGCGACCGCTCGGTGCAGCAGCAGGAAGAGGAAGAGGAGAGAGAGAAGGAGGAGGAGGAGAAGAAGAAGGAGAAGAAGAAGAAGAAGAAGAAGGGCATGAGACGTAGCTTGATTTAGCAATTTTTGTCGCGTCTGGGACTAGTAGCTTCGAACGGCCAGGCCAAGGCCATGCAGTGAGCGCCTCACACTGCAGGGATGGGCGGCGGAGGGGGGAGTGTTGTGGCAGCTGCGTCATAACCGAGCGACTGCTACTCTACTCTAGTACCGGTAACAACTCATAGGACGGTTGTATGTAATGCTATGGATCCATGCCCCCACCATTGCATACAGTGTAGTCATGCTTATACTACTCTGCTCCATTCTCATACAGAAGAAGGAATAGAGTACTTACTATAGTAGAAGGCCGAGGCACATGAAATACTCTACGTGGAGCAACAGATTGCCTGTAGTATGAGTAGTGCAAAGTGCAAATCAATGAAACGGGTCAGACTGCCGCCAGGCAATTGATTTCATGTTCGCGCCGTTGTCGGAGTGCTCTGGATGGGATGGATTGACGTGCGATAGCTCCGACAGGGCGCCCAGGAAAAAAAATGGTGTAGAACCTTGCTACCAGTCATCGCATCTTGTTTTGTTCCGCGTTCGACCTCAGCTCTACCGGTACACTCCGGTATTCCGTTGCAGCCTTTAGCCACATGGTATAAAGACAAGAGACATTTGAGCATACCGCGAAATAACATTCGTTCCACTGGCCATTCATCAAGTTGCCAATTGACCTTTGGACCCTTTTTTTTTGGGGAGATAGAACGACTCGCGCATTATATTAGTACGATTACCTAGTCCTACCACCCCCATCACCCCCTCCGCGACCCCACTACCACCACCGCATTATACATACACCATGTCGTTCCCTGTCCTTCACGCTCGCGCAGAAGCCAAACCCCTCGAGCACCGTTCCTGCCTCACGCCCACGACGGCCAAGAAACTGCTCGACGCCGGCTACCCCGTCCTCGTCGAGCGCAGCTCCAAGGACCCCAACTATGCGCGCATCTTCCGCGACGAAGAGTTTGAGCAGGTCGGCGCCACCCTCATTGAAGAAGGCGCATACAAGACGGCGCCGACCGACCACATCATCCTCGGCCTAAAGGAGCTGCCAGAGGACACATTCCCGCTCCAGCACACTTTTGTCCATTTCGCCCACTGCTACAAGCAACAAGCCGGCTGGGAGACCGTCCTGGCCCGTTTCCCCCGTGGAGGAGGCACGCTGTATGATCTCGAGTTCCTCCAGGACGAGTCGGGCAGGCGCGTTGCTGCCTTTGGCTACCATGCAGGCTTTGTTGGTGCTGCCCTTGCCATCAAGGCAAGTCCCTCCTTCTCTCCTTCTCTCCGTCTCTCCTTCTCTCCGTCTCTCCTTCTCTCCGTCTCTCCTTCTCTCCGTCTCTCCTTCTCTCCGTCTCTCCTTCTCTCCGTCTCTCTTTCCCCCTTGCTACCCCACATGACATGCTGACAACCCCCCAGACATGGGCATGGCAGCTCACACACCCCAATGGCGAGCCCCTCCCCGGTCTCGAGACCTTCACCGACGGCCGTGGCTACAACAACAACGAGAGCGAGCTCATCACCCAGCTCAAGGAAAATGTCGCTACCGGTGAGAAGGTTGCTGGACGCAAGCCCAGGAGCTTGGTCTTGGGCGCCCTGGGACGCTGTGGCTCTGGCGCCGTGGACCTCCTCGAAAAAGTGGGCTGCACCGATGTCCTCAAATGGGACCTGGCAGAGACCAAGGAACGTGACGGACCCTATCCAGAGATCGTCGAGTCCGACATCTTCGTCAACTGCATCTACCTTTCCAAGCCCATTCCCCCTTTCGTCAACAAGGAAAGTCTGCAATCACCCAACCGTAAGCTGAGCGTTGTCTGCGATGTTAGCTGCGACACGACCAACCCCCACAACCCGATCCCCATCTACGACATCAACACCACTTTCGAAAAACCCACAGTACCCGTCTCGATCCCCGGCGAGGGACCCAGGTTATCGGTCATATCCATTGACCATCTCCCATCAGCACTACCCCGTGAGTCGTCCGAGGCCTTTAGCAATGCGCTCCTGCCCAGTCTATTGGCACTCAAGGACCGCGCGACGACTCCGGTATGGCAAGGTGCTGAGAAGCTGTTCCAAGAAAAGGTTCAGACGCTTCCAGGTGGTGTACCCAAGAAGGAAGTCTAAGCACACCAAACGCGGAGACATCTGATCTAGCAAAAATGACCGAATGAATACATCCAAGCACAGTACTGCACTGTGCAAGATACACCCGCCATTGGTCGTCCGAACACATGTGACGTGATTGACGCCCTTGCTGTCAGTAGACATTTCATGCTAAAGCAGGACGCAGTGCAATGCTACGACTATTACCTGCAAAATGGTGAACAAATCCTGCGCAGTCCATGATCCGTATTGATTTCCAGATTTAATATCAACCTACCTTTTACGTGAGTGAAAAGCATGTCACCATCCAACACACTTACTTTTTTAGCATACCATAGAAACTGCTTAGAACACCGTAATGATCAGCAGCCTTGTCAAGCACTGGTTGAAGGCATCTGACATCGGCCTTGGCAACTCACAAGAGAAGATGCATTGAAAACCCTGTGCAGATGCACAATACGGTCACAATGGCCCGATGATGCTTGTGTATTGTGGTAAAGCAGGTCTTGTAGGCGACGCTAGATGGATGCGCCACCATGACGTAGTTACATCCCGTCCGCTGTGTAGGATTTACCGGTCAACTATACATTGCCAAACGACAAACATCAAATTCGCAACATGCCAGCACGAATAACAAACCAAAATAACGCGAAGCCCCAGAGTCCGACAGCTGCTACGAAGAAAATGGCTCAACAAAAGCCCAATGACCAACAACGGGTTCCCGAAACGGAAATAAAACAAAACTCGGGCATCTCCGCTACAATGGCGCTCCAAGCGGCTCAGAAAGCATGGGATTTGCGACAGGCAGCCAATGCTGCTGGCGACCCAAATGCACGAGAAGAGATATTAGCCAAGGCTATCAACAAGGAAATTGAGGCCGAGTCTTTTGGCAAGGCAGCAAAGTATACACAATCTGGTGCATTTCAAGGGCTGGCCGCTGGTGCAGGATTGGGCGTGCAACCAGGTGTAACGATAGGCAAACTGACCGGGGCTTTGGTGGGCGGTGTAGTGGCAACAGTCACGGGTCTACTAGGAGGAGGCATTGGATCCGTGTATGGCGCTTTGAACGGACCTTTCTGGAACCTGGGTGAAATGGCAAGTCATGGGGTTCGCGGCGTGATTGGAGACTTTCCAAATTGGAATTCGACACCGGCACAGAAGAGAGCCTTGGAGAAGATGGTGATGCAGACTAAGGAGACACAGTCACCTTCAAAGGAAGAGCTGGAAGAGATGAGCAGATATGCACCGGATGATATGCCGCAGACTTGGTCACAGTCGGTCAAGGACATGACTGCTTGGAGACCATCGATGCCGGATATGCCAAAGATGCCATCCGTACCCACGGGGGCCGCTCTAGGCCTAGGAGGCTTGGGTGCATCGATGCCTTCATGGGGAAGTAAAAACCAAGGCAACAATGCAAACCCATCTCAGCAGACTCCCACTCAGCAAACCTCGCAACAGCAGGTCAACACACCACCGAGGCCCCAGGAGCCACCCAAGCCAAACACCGCTCCCAAACCTAAAGAAACACCCCCAGTAGAAAGACCCCCCACCCCAGCTCCAGCCCCCAAAAAACATTCCCAGCGCCACACAGCCCCAAGTCCACAAACAAACCCTCCCCAACCTCCGTCCCCTCCCACAACAGTAATCGCACCAAAGTCACCCGCCCCGAAAGCGAAGACGACTCCTAAGCCACCATCAGATTTGAAGAAACGCGAGAAGCCGTCTCGGCTACCACAGAAGACCAACTCGGCGTCCACCCGTGACGAGAAAGAAGGACCTGATGCGTCGGCCTCGGAGCCGGCGAAAAGGAAACCCAGGAAGCTGGGGGCGAAGACGTCGTCTGCGGGTGCGGAACCAGTACAGACAGCGGACAAGGCGGACAAGGCACCGGTGAAGAAGGCGCCGCGGAAATTGGCGTCTCGGAAGCCGGCTGTGTGATGGAGGTGTGGCTTGCATTATACTGGGAATCTTTCCTTTAGTTGTTGGTAGAGATGGTGTGTTGCGATGTAGTCAGTCTGTCTAGCGGTCAGCATGATTGTTTGTTGCACAATGCAAGGAGGATTATTTGACGAGATCATTTCTATTTGTTTAGTTGTCTATTTCATGTTCGTGTACAGACGCTAAGTTGGAAGATTTCGGTCTTTTCTTTCGCTGCCAAGGGAAAGAGATGGTATAAAATACCCTAGATCCTCGGCACAGAGGTGACGGTAATTACCCTCGAGCCATGAATGCGCTTCATATACTAGGCTGATTACTGCCTCCCTAGCTTCAAGGAATACCAGAATACCAGGAACAAATTCACATCGATTGGCCATACCAGAAAACCAACCAACCAACCAACCACCCCACCGCCCCAGCCTCACGTGAAAATAATGCCCCCGTCAATAACAACAGTCTGCCCAGTCATGTAATCACTATCCCTACCACACAAAAACGCCACCGTACCCGCCACATCCTCAGGCACACTCGTCCGCCCCAGCGCAATCAAATCCCGCGAAAACTGTTTAATCGTCTCGCCCCTGGCCACGCCCGCCCGCTCCCCGAGCTTTTCGTCAATGAGATCCCACATGGCGGTGCCGACGATGCCGGGGGCATAGGCATTCACCGTGATGTTGTGGGGAGCCATTTCCATGGCGAAAGCTTGGGTGAGGCCGCGGACGGCCCATTTGGAGGCTGAGTAGTGGGAGAGGAGGGGGAAGGGTTTGAAGGCGACGATGGAGGCTGCGCCGAGGATTTTGCCGCCGTGGCCTTGGGTGATGAGTTGTTTGGCGGCGGTGGTGTAGCAGTTGTGGAGGCCGAAGACTGGGGGTTGGATGAGCTGGGTTGGTGGGATGGGAGGGGATGGGATGGGGTGTTTGGAACTGGGGGTAAGTGGAGGGACAGAGGGATAGATGGATAGAGAGATGATGAGATGGAGGTTCGATTACCGTTGACTTCGAACATTCTTCTCAGATCCTGTTCGGTGAGATCGAGAAGTGCTTTTACCTGGGCAATACCAGCGTTTGCGACCATGGTGGAAAGAGGCCCGAGTTCAGACACGGATGCTTGGACGAGGCCCTGGACTTCTTGGAGATTGGACACGTCGGCTGTGTAGGCAATGGATTTCCGTCCTAGGGACTGGATCTGCTTGACCACCTCATCTGCGCCGGATTTGTTGGCTTCGACATCGTTGATGCAGACATCGTAGCCGTCGTGGGCAAGGCGGAGGGCAATGGCTTTTCCACTTGCTGCGGGTTCAGCGCTGGGCGGGATATTCGTGATGCGTGGTACAACTTACATGCCGCGAGCAGAGCCTGTGACGATTGCTGTTCGTGGTCCTTCTGAAGCTGGGGTGGTATATCTACGTGCCCATTGGGGAGATTGTGTCAAGAAACGCGGTACGGTCGTTGAACTGGAAGCGGTTTGCCATAAAGCTCTTGCGCGCAGATTAATGGCCATGATTATATCTTCACTGGCAGATGTTTCAAAGGATTAAGATGGAGATTCCGTTCATGAATTACACCAGAAAACAACCAGCGAGGCGGTCCCCGCGTCCCGCATGGCTATCTATATACATTACCCCAGATCTTTCGGGAAGCTCGCTTCAGGGCAGCCGGGCCTGCGGAGTATGCATCGACCCCTCTTGTAGCGTGGTGTACCTACAAGCTACAGCGAGCGTTCGGGTATAACAACTCCGCAGCATGACGTTGGTGGTGTACCGGTACCTAGGCGTGTCACCCCAACTATCGCCCACCTCGTCTCGTGAATCGGCATGAACACAAGGGAAGCCGCATTGTTCCGTGCCTTTCTTGCTTGAATTGTGAGACGGCTGGCAGATGGACAAAGAGGGGGTTGTCTGATGGTGTCGTATCTCTCCGAGGCCATGCTGGAGTGAAAGGGGGGTGGGAGGTGGGGATATGGCGGGGAAGCCACGGAGGTGCCACACTTGGTCTGTGCGCCAAGTTGCGGTCGCGTCAACAAGACACGCCCAGGTACCATGTTCCATCGCGACATTGGGCGCATCCAGGCTGGAGAAAGATAACATGTCGCGACAAAGCATGGCGCCGTCGCGCAATCTGTCGCTGACGGAAGAATTAGAGAAGCTCGAGCAGTCCATCACGCTGACTTTGCAGGGTAAGCCACTCCTCTGCTAGCTTACCAGTACCCCGCCAGCCCGACTGACCACAGCAGAAATCGACCACAACTTCAGCCGCGCCCACCGCATTGTGACTACTGCCATCTTACCCATAGTTGAGCAGTATGGGAAACATTCCGAGGCGGTATGGGAAGGTTCCAAGGTGCGCAAAACCAGCCCCATGGTCTTTGCAAGGACCAATACGGCAAAATTGCCCTGTACTGACTGGCCTAGTTCTGGAAACAGTTCTTCGAAGCCAGTGCCAATGTCTCGCTCTCAGGCTACGAAGCGCCCGAACCGGATGAGTCCGCCTTGCAAGAAGACACACAGCAGTCACAGCTCTACGAAGACGAAACGGTTGAGGATGAGACGGTCACGGGCGGCGTTACCACACCACGCCGACCTTCTTCTGCGCAGGAAGATGCCGAGTCTACCATAGCCTTCGACTCTCCGTCTTTGGGCCATAGCACACCCCGCGCGCCACCTTCGGAAAAGAAGGGCAAAGAGCTTGCTGAGGACGAGAGCCTGGATGAGGAGGAGCCGCAGTTTGCGAGCATGTCGTCCCCATACGAGACGCTCAGAGAGGAGTTTCAGGGCGAGCTTGGTGCCATCAAGACGCCAAGGTTCGATCCCATCACGCCTGGGAAGTCGCAAGCGCTGCCAGATATGTCGGGCTACGGCTCATCGCCGTTCGTGCAGCCTACGACTAGCAAGAAAGCGTATACGAACCAAGATCCACTGCTGCACCGCGTCCTCGACAAGACATTCCGCGTGCAAGCCACACCGCTCATCAGTCCGCGCAAATATAAGCCTACGGGTGCATTCACCCCAAAGGCTGGACAGCGTGGGGCTGCTACACCGCAAGGTGCAACGGCAAGACTTCCACGGTGGGCAGAAGACTCGTCGCCCCCATCATCGCCAGCACCGCAGCTGCGTGCCGATATTTTCTCGCCGATGAAGACACCTCGAACGCCAGGGGTGAGTGTGCAAACGCCCGCAAAGGGCAGACACCCGGTGAGCGTAAATCAAACCGGTGGGACTGTCTTTGACGACAGCGAGGAAGAGGAGTACGAGCTCGACTTCAGCCCCCCGAAGACGATTCAATTCCACATACCGCAGAGCAAGCTGCTCCAAACACCTGGTAAGCAAGCCATTTGTATATCATGCACGGTCCACTAATGTCCTGTGCAGCTCGCGAAGCCAGTAAGCGCATCGTGGACGATTTGCTGATGACGGCTGGCGGCGACATCACCGACTCGACTGGAGGCATGGATGAAGACAGCCCCAGCGTGGTCAGACGGCAGGTAGATCTTGATGACAGCTTTTGAGGCGGCTAGAGCGTTTACAGAAACTGATATACTCTGAGAGCGGCAGTAGATAACCGGTAGGTACAAATGTACAATAGTAGACATTGTAGATAGCCAGGGCCAGGGTGTGGATCGTGTGTTGTGAGGCTCAGGGTAGTGTATACGTACTTGGACCGAACGGATGGGATGGGAGGGGGAGGGACGCTAGGCGGAACAGGTGCTAGCGGCAACTAGATCCCATGCCATGCTGGCAGCGACAGCTTCCCCCATCGTCATGTAGAGATCAATGCCAGGCGGCCAGAGTGTCTACCATTGCCCAGGGGCACGCGTTGGGAGAGGAACAACACAACAACACCAATGCACAATTCTACTCTGTCATGCTTACTGACCTTTATTCACTCGTTTTTTGACTAGACCTTGCCACCTAGACGTTCATTCACACTGTCATGTCCAGGCAGAAGCGGCCACCGACGTCTGGGTATGCACGCATCGCGCAGGCGGAAGAGGAAGACTCTGGGAGCGACTTGGAAGATGACCTGCACCAAGCCTCGCTTTCGGGCGTGCAGTATGCCCCCTTACAGCCCCCGAGAACGTCGGGCATGCGCATGGGCGAGAGCTCGCTGCCCAGCTCGTCCAGCACACGACGTATGCCCGCTGCTGGACGACGGCCACGATCCAATTCGGGCGTGGACATGAAGGCCATCAACGCGCGTTTCGAGCGATGGGCCGAGGAGATCGCACACAAGTTTAAGATCAAGACGCAGCGCGACACGTCCGACGACGAGCAGCTCGAGATCCACCACTCCGTCTTCCAGGCGCCCGATGGGGTGCGTCCAGCCACGGCCGAGTCACTGGCCCACGACTACGACGGTGCCGCCACAGAGGGGCGCATGACCAAGCTGGAGTTTGACGATCTGGTGGAAAGCGTACGCACGGCAATCGAGCTGGGCGTGCACCCCAAGCTCATCACCCAGGGCAGCTCGGGCAGCTACTTTGCGCGCAACACACAGGGCAAGGTTGTTGGCGTCTTCAAGCCCAAGGACGAGGAGCCTTACGCATCACGCAATCCCAAATGGACCAAGTGGATCCATCGCAATCTGTTCCCCTTCTTCTTTGGTCGCGCCTGCTTGATTCCCAATCTCAGCTACATCTCTGAAGCGGCCGCCTACGTCCTCGACACGCAGCTGCGCACAAACCTCGTCCCTTACACGGACATTGTCTCCCTGTCTTCCAAGTCGTTCCACTACGACTTCTGGGACCGTCGCGCCTTCTACCGGAAGAAGAAGCCGTTTCCTGAAAAACCAGGCAGCTTCCAGGTCTTCCTTAAAGGCTTCAAGGACGCCAACATATTCTTAAAGGAGCATCCATGGCCCGATCAACATACCGCAGGCCTGCGCCCAAAGCGCAAGAAGAGGAGGACTTGGGCTGAGGATTGCAGGCCAAGTGGCCCAGGATCGGACAACGACGAGGATGACGAACAGCCCAACTCCCCCGGCCAGCACACCAGACGGACGGAATTCTGGACAGAGGCGCTCCAACAGTCGTTCAGAGAGCAACTTGAGAAACTGGTCATCCTCGACTACATTATGCGCAACACCGACCGTGGTCTAGACAATTGGATGATCAGGATCGACCAGAAGACGCAGGAGACCACCATCATTTCCGAACCACCAAAGTTGAATGATGACGTTGGTGATATTGATGACGAGGAACATCAGCCGAGTGCTTACACTCGCAAGTCCATGGAAGAATCAGATCCCTACGGGCGGCGAGAGCCCATGACTGCGAACAGTCGGTCCAACACGCCCATGCAACGCGGACCTGTTCCCACAGTTTCCATTGGTGCCATTGACAACAGTCTGTCGTGGCCGTGGAAGCACCCTGATGCTGTGAGTGCTGCGACCTAATCCTGTCTGCGGGAGATTGCCTGCTAATCGTGCCCAGTGGCGGAGCTACCCATTCGGTTGGCTCTTCCTACCCGTCTCGCTCATCGGTCAGCCCTTCTCAGAGGCCACCCGCCGCCACTTTCTTCCCCTTCTCACCTCGAAACATTGGTGGAGCGATACACAAAAAGCACTCCGACAGTGCTTCAGTCAAGATTCCGACTTCAAAGAGCGCATGTACGCAAAACAAATGGCAGTCATGAAGGGACAGGCCTGGAACGTGGTGGAAACGTTGAAGACACCAGATCATGGCCCTCTTGAACTCACAAGGAGAGCGCGCGTCGCTGTCTGGGATGATGTAGTGGAAATCCCCATCGCTGTGCCTCTGAAAGCGCCTTCGGCAGAGATGCGAAGGAAACAGCCAGAGAGGCATCACAGGCTGGACGAAGAGCATGAAGAGATGGATATCACGGCAATCTCGACACCACCTCAAAACCCGCAGCCTGATCTTCTCATGAGCTCACCCCCGCTAGAATCAGCGCATGAGAATCGGTTCAACCTCACCCGCGATTCCTCTTCCCTAGACGTTCGGCGGGTCGAGGTTGACCCAAAATCACCAGCCGCCGTCAATGGCTCATCTTGGGCCTCTCGTACCGTTCAAGCGCCCAAGAACGGCCGACCCACCCACCACTCGCGCACAAGTTATGATGGACCTCGGCGCATCTTGCCAGAAAGCAGGCGACAACGAAGGTTGTCGTTGACGAACAGACGAGATTTTGATGATTACGGACTTGACGATGAAGGTGATTTGGGCTATGCAGCGAATGAGGACATGGAAGGAAATCAAAAGAAAGTGATTGTTGAGCGGCTAGAAATGGTCAAGGGTAGGAATCCGGTATTTACTTGGTGTTAGCTTTTCAACGGTGCTTTTTACTCTTGGTGCCTGGGATCTGCATAGCGGGCGTTTGTTCGAAGATAAGACAAATCAGCAGAGATGCCTCTAGAAATGCGAGGTGATTTGTTAGTCACAAGAAACATGAATGCAATGATTGAGAAGCCCGCTCCCGTCACGATGGGGTTTGTCGTGAAGCACCAGCTTAGTGTCTCGGTCCTTTGCCGCCGCATGTGGATTCGGGTGATCAGCGCACCGCAGCACTGCAGGTACCGCAGAATCCCAACGTTCATACGAACCACTGAAACAAGGTCCATGTATACAATCTAGGGTTACACAAATCCGACATGGCCATTTGTCCCTTGCAGCCTCTGTGCCATTGGTCTTAGCAGCTGCCTCAAATGATCGATTGCCTGCCGTCCCCGTCCATGTGTGAAGATCCAGAAGCGTCATCTGACCTCGCGCGCCACACCAGTGGCTTGTACTAATCGATGACTTTCTCACGGTGAACATCGAAGGCAACAACGCGTCCACCACCCGCATCTAATGCCATATTCATTCCCTTTGTGCCTCTATAAAACTTATGTTCTTTGATGCCTGCGGCGGGCGAATCGCTGTGTGGCGATAGGCAGTCGACATCCACCTTCACCTACCAGTACCCTGCTTCCGAATCGTTAGCTGGTATCAAGGCTCGCCAGAGTGCCACTCATTTTCCAGCTCGAAAGCGATAACGCGTAAGAGACAAGTCAAGTTTCTGTGAGAGACGTCGTTACCGTACGGAGAAGCTCATTGCGTATCACTTCAGATACGAATGTTAAGGTCGTTCTACGCGCGGCGGATCGCAGTAGGTACTACGGCTTGGCAGCACATACCAGATGCGCGTATCAGATTCACGGCCTAGGGAAAGAGTAGAAGTGGTAGATCGCTAGTGGCTCAGTCTTTGCTCTCACTTGCTAGTAGGATCTCGTTTGCACGGCTCCAAAATGAATCCTGCGCTCTTACTTGACCCTCGACGGGTGCGCAAGACAGGTATATAGTCCCCCGTCTCCTACCTCCACATTTCCTCCTCTACACTCTCCTTGGTCAAATCTTCAATTACTCACCCCCATACGATGGAAGAGTCAACCTCATACGCATTCCCGCCCGGTGCTCGACTCTTCACTCCATCGCCCAGTGAAGCAGACAATCGAAGCACTGCCTTCGACTCGCCTTTCTCACTCATGAGCTCTTCTGCCTCGCGACCTGAGCTGACAGATCCAAACCTAGGCGGCACTGGGACAACTCATGACGACGACGGTGCACAGGGTTCATCGCTTCCGCGCTTTGACCCGCGTGCACTGCTAAACCCTAGGTCATCCAGCAAGCGCCCCGCGTCCTCAGGTCAAGATGCTGAGCGCGGAAATGTCGTACCTGATATGGCTGGCCAATTTTCCCTTGTTGAGCGATTGCACAATGTAGAGGAACGCACTCCAACAACGAAGCGCATGAAGACCAAGGAGCCGCAAAGACACGCTGATCAGCGTACGAATTTCGGTGGTGGAAGTTCCCTTGACCTACAGAACTCCAACAAACAGCTGCCGGCGCCTCCTCAGGGAGCACAGATTGATTTGACAATGAGTGAGTTCCCTGTCACCAACATGATGTCTATAATCTTGCTGATATGTGAAACAGGTGACGACGACGATATTAAGATTATCAGTTCAAAACCCAAGGAAGACGATGTCAAGATGATTGGTTCTCAGCCCAACGATGATATTTGTATTGGAAAAGTCAAACAAACATATATTCAGGCACACACGGTACCCTTTCCTGACCCGAAGAAGTATGGTGGTCACCACAGTGGTCAAGGTCGCATCAAGGTTTCGCTTCGTAGGAGTGGAGGTCAGAAATACAACTTCTCTATCATGGTGACCGACAGCCTCCAGAAAGAATTTGGTCGAGTCGACATGAAGACTGCACAGGGACTTGCGCCTCTGATCGACGCTGCAAAAGCTAGCGGACTAAAGTGGATGGCCTGGACTGAGCAACGGCGAAAACAGCCGAACGAAGGACCTCCAGGTAGCCCATTTTCTGGCCTAATTGGAATGACTTTGCAGCTATACGCGCCACGGAACAATGCTGTTAGCCTTGGAAAGTCACTGAGGATAAAAAATTTGGTGCTGGAAGCGCCAGTCTTCGAGCTTCAGCGACACGACTATATCAATCCTCAGACTGGTGAGACCATTTTGAGGAATCAGATGAACCAGCCAGTCCAAAACGCCATGTATCAGTTTGGATACGGATCTTCGAGCTATGTACTACGCAGTGCAGACGAGATACGCGCTGATGTAGAAGATGTGTTCGACACAGTTGTCACTAGTTCTGAAGTGGTACCAACTCGAGAACCTTCGCACCATATCAAGACTGAGCTATATCCCCATCAGAAGCAGGCTCTATACTTCATGGTAGACAAAGAGCAGGACCACTCTGGTGCCGAGTACGATGACCGTAAAGATTCTCTGTGGAAGCCGCACTATCGGGACAATGGTCGCAAGTCATATATCCATGTCATAACAGGCGAAGAAAAGACCGAGAAGCCTAGGCCAAACTTGGGAGGGATTCTAGCTGATGAGATGGGATTGGGGAAGACATTAAGCATCTTGTCTCTCATAGCTGATGACGCATCTATTCACGACGCGCGCCTCTTCCAGGAAAAGCGGCCAGCACCAGCTCCTTCGGGCATGCTGCAGCCTCTGTTCAACAGCCGAGCTACATTGCTGGTTTGCCCACTTAGTACCATGACAAATTGGAAAGAGCAGATCAAGGAGCATTTTCCGGAAGGTAAAAGTGCTTTGAGATGGGCACGCTATCACGGCACAGAGCGCTACGAAATGTCTGCGAAAGATCTTGCCGACTATGACATCGTCGTCACCACCTATCACATCATCGCCAAGGACATTCTTGATCGGAAGCGACCACTTGCCTATATCAACTGGTTCCGGATAGTGCTAGACGAAGCACATACGATTCGAAACCCCACCCAGCAATCGAAGGCCACATGCGCTCTAAACGGCCAGCGACGTTGGGCTGTAACCGGTACGCCTGTTCAAAACCGTCTTGAAGACTTGGGCGCATTGTTCAACTTCATTCGTCTCAAGCCGTTTGATTCTAATGCAGGCTTCAATCAGTTCATTCTGAATCCTTTCAAGAATGCTGATCCTGAAGTTGTACCCAAGCTGCAGCTTCTGGTCAGCACCGTCACCATTCGCCGAACCAAAGAGATCATCAAGCATGCGGTGCCACCGAAGTCAGACCTGATCGTCAGGCTCCCCTTCTCAAGAGAAGAGCAACAGCTTCATGATTGGTTCGAAAGGGACACCCAGCGCAAAGTTGCAGCAGTCACGCAGGGAGACAAATTGGGAGGCAGCTCCTACGCCAAAATCTTGACGGCCATTCTCAATCTTCGGTTAATTTGCGCACATGGTCGTGACCTCCTAAGCGAAGAAGCCTTGAAAACCACAGACGGAATGACTTATGACAATCCTATGGAAATAGGAGAAGAGGAGGTTGTCTCAGCCAAGCTTACATCCCAACAGGCTTACGAGATGCTTAGCCTGCTTGAAGACACACACAGTGCAGATTGCATCTACTGCCCTGGCCGCACATCCTTACTCGAGGAAGACTCTTCAGACAGCGAAGATGATGATAGTAAAACGCACAATGTACTCGGATACATGACAACGTGCTACCATGTAGTCTGTCCGAAACACCACAACAAGATGGAGAAGCAGTGGCGAGACAGCAGGAATCCAGATGGCTCAGTGATATGTCATGTCTGCGACGACCACAACATGCCTTCTATGTTCACGCTTTTACGTGACGAATATGCAAATTTTTTGGCAGAACGGGACCGTATTCGAAAAGACCCAAAGTTGTCTAAGAAGATTGGGAGCTACACAGGTCCCCACACCAAGACGCAGGCCTTGCTGAATGATTTGAAAGAATTTCACGAGTGGAGCGAGAACAATCCTCACGAGCGGCCTATCAAGAGGTAAGTAGCGCACGATACCACAACATCATTTCATTAACAAGAACACAGTATCGTCTTCTCTTCCTGGACCACACACCTCGACCTCATTGAGATTGCCCTTCAGGCCCACAACCACACCTATGTCCGCCTCGATGGCCGCATGTCCCGAGATGCCCGCGATAAATCTATGCAGCGTCTCCGCGAAGACCCTTCTGTACGCGTCATGCTCGTCTCCATTGGCGCCGGCGGCCTCGGCCTTAACCTAACGACTGCCAACAAGGTCTTCATGATGGAACCGCAGTTCAATCCAGCTGCTGAGGCGCAAGCTGTAGATCGTGTGCATCGTCTGGGCCAAGACAGGGATGTCACGATCAAGCGTTTCATCATGGACAAGAGCTTTGAGGAGAAAATGTTGGTGATGCAGAAGAAGAAGAAGGATCTGGCGGATCTGACCATGGCACGGGAGAGAAAGACCAAGGAGCAAGCTACCAAGCAGCGGCTGGAGGAGTTGAGGAGTTTGTTTAGATGAGTCACCGCCTATTTGAGGATTAAGGGGGTCGTGCGCTTATGTCATGGGAGCTGAGAGGGCGATGACCATCTTATGATAGATTTAATTGGGGTTGGAGTGGCAATCTACTTGGGCGCACGAATACGGTGGCGTGCACCACTTTGACGGGTGTTGACGCCAAAGGGGCGTTGGATGTTATTCGTGGACAATGACACGGTGCCGCTCTGTCTGTGGACTGGGTCCATACTATAGGGCTCATCGTTTTGCTGTCTTGCCAACATACACACGGCATATTGATACAGTATATAAAGAATCACGCCCTAAAAGCGAGAACCCGGTGACATGCCAGTTGATACTACATTCCTGGCTCAACCGAATTCTTAAAGTGAATTCAGAACTGTCTTATCTCTCCTCATTCCCAACTCATTGGAGCCTGTTTCTTGTATAAGCTCAAGTGCTGGCAAAAGCATCCCAACTCACTAGCTTCTCATCTACTATGTATCAATTCATTAGTTGCTAACATAGGAAACATAGATGATGAACAAAATGATCATCCGGTTCCCGAAATCAAACCGTAGCAATGTCCACCCTTCATACTGAGCATGTCCAAGCATTCCGAGGGGGTAAGCCGGACCTAGCTCCGCGGCATTGCTTTTGATGCCGCGAGTTCCGGCTCGAGTATTTTGAACGAGAGACTGTCTCGCTTATACTCTACATTGAAGATGTTGGCTGAAGGTTGTTACTCGCATTCTGGACTTGAGGTGTGGCGTGTGTGTGGGGCTGGCAGTTATAGTGGAGTCGATGACTGCATGGTTATAACTAGAGGCCCAGGTGATGATCTGGAGTCTCGCCTTTGGATAAATTGTCACATACAATGACGTATAGCTTTGCAAAAGGACTCGGAGTTGGAAATGGGACATGTTATTTATGGATAAATGCCCGTCACGCACTCATGGAAAAACTACGCCCGCCATGAGGTTCTATTTGGACGCCCCAAAGGCCCTCCAAGCCTCGACCTTGTGTCGGCGCCCAAGTCGCGATCACCTATCGCTGACGAGACATCTGGTAATCAAAGTACGATGCGGCGGCATTAAACAAAGTTTGCAGTCTTTGTCCATACAGCTGATGGATCAACATGCGAATCGATCCGAGGCTCTGTGGGTCGCTCCTTCCACCGTCAGCTTGATACGCGTCAACGTTTGCTGGCTGCGCCACTCTATCGGTGAATTACTTCACACTTAAAAGCGACCACGGCCACGACTTGTCTCCCACTCCACTCTGTTCCTGCAGTCAAACATAACGACGTCCTCAAGTTTCGACTGTAGGTTTTCGTATCGAATGATCCGGAGGGGCACCTCGGTTGGGCGGAAAGGTGTCGGCTAAAGGTCGACTAGGCTGCGAAGTCGCTCAGTCCCGAGTCTCTCAGAATTCACCCTCAGTCACCGGCAGACATACACATGCGAACACACAGTCGACCGGAAATACAATGCCGGGGTGAAGCATAAACGGAAGCAGACACTCAGTCATTAATGTAGTCATTCCAGATTGCAGTCTGCGTTTATCTAGGAACTCTATTTCGTTTGCCAGGATCCCGTCAAGGAGCAACTTGCACCGATCCATATACACATCATCCAACAAGTCATTAACAATACACAACATGCGTAACGAGATAGGACATTCGAAACAGATCGCCCAAACGCGGCGCTGAGCATAAACAACTACACGCTTCACGTCTAGGTAGTGTAAAAGAAGTTGGGACGCATATCACCGAGGTCCTCGATAATCTCCTCCTGAGTCTTGCCAACAAGCAAATGATCGCGCTTGCCCTCCTTCCTCAGTCTGTTCTCGCGCTTGAGAGCAAAGTGCATGAAGACGGTTCCGCCGAAGAGGAAAAGGAACATGTAGGCGAGCACGATTCCGTGTCCAGTACGGTAGTGGGGTCTCTCAGCTGGGTTGTAGATGTTGGACGAGACGACACCGTTCAGGTTACCCCAGCCAACGACAACACCGACCATCACTCCGCGCTTCAGTGATCCCTCGACGTTGTTGGAAGCCCATGTCAATGTGTTGGAAACTGTGGGGTAAATTCCGGCAGCACCGAGGAAGGTGCCAGCGTATTGGACGCGGACGTTGGTAGTGGCGAGCAACATGGCAAATCCGATACAACCGATCAAAGACACTCCCATGTTGCAGATTCCACGAAGCTTGGTCCTGTCGGCAATCCAACCGATGATAACTGTCATCGTCGCGGCAACGGCGTAAGGAGGGACAGACAAGAGCTGAGCCGTAGTTCCAGTGTATCCCATGCCAAGGAGAATCGTCGGCAAGAAGAGAGAGAAGCAGTATAGTGGGCACAGACAGCCCATGTAGATGACGGCGTATCCCCAAGTCTTCCAGTCCCTGAGCGCCGCAAAAACATGGCGACGATCAATGCCTCCGACCTTGGCGCGAGCCTGTCCATCGGCCTTGAGACGACGCATCGCACGGAGCTTCTCGTCGGGAGTAAGGAAGCTGGCCGTGTCGGGGAAATCGAAAACCATCCACCAACAGAAAAGGCCGACGAATACCGTAAGCAAACCCTCAATGATGACTGTTCTCGTTAGCAAGATATTTCATCGAAGAAAGACCGAATCACTTACAGATCCAGCGCCATCCCTCGTATCCAGCGATACCATCCATCAAGGTAATTGCAGCAGCCAAGAGACCACCAAAAGAACCAGCTAGCGCGGCGGCGGAGAAAAAGAGAGCAGCACGGAATCCGAGTTCCTGGCGCTTGTACCAGCAGCTATGAATGGATTAGCTACAGGCCTACAGAGAGGCTGACTTAAACTTACGAGAGATAGTAGTTGACACCCGGGAAGAGACCGGCCTCAGCGAGACCAAGGAACCAACGGCAAGCGAGAAGACCAGCAAAATTGGTCACGACACCCATCAAAGTCATGATGATACCCCAAGCCAGGATGATCGCGGTGAAGAAAACACGCGGCGACCATTTCTTGATGGCAATGTTGGTGAGCGGCTCGAAACCAGCGTAGGAGATGAAAAAGATTGTCAAGGCAACGTTGTAATCACGACCACCCATTCCAAGATCCGGCTCCATGTTGGCGACACGAGCATTTCCGATGTTGGTCCGATCCAGGAAAGAAAGGAGGTAAAGGAGTGACAGCCAAGGGATCAGCCACAAGTCCATCTTCCATACAAGAGCTTTGTCCTAAATGGCATCAGTATCTGGCGGGGAAAGGATCGCGGGGAGAGAGGCATACCAATTTGGCCCGTTCCTCATCGGTCTTGCCTACGTCTGGATCAGGCAAGTCCTCGACGTCTGCGTGCTCCGCGCTGAGCTGAGAGCTGTCTATGTCATTGTTGGCATACACGCTTCCCTTCTCATTGGCCTCCTCAAGGGCAGGCTGGGACTGGATTGTGGCCATGGTGATGGTTGGGGAACACAAATCTGAGGGGAGCACATGCGATGGGGGGCAGCCAAGGGACCCTTATGTACTCTTACCTCACAAACAGCCTGTGGACGTTGGTTTGAATCAAAATGGAGACTACTAGGGCCAATATGACTAGCTCCCTAGTGCGATCCGGGTCCCCATGGGGTGGTTGGATGGGACGACAGAGTGGATCATCCATAGGCCTGTCTGTCGACAGCAGCATCCGAGCGTGGCGGAGTGAGATTACCCCAAAGCGGACAAGATGCGATTATTCGCATACTTACGCCCTCCCTTGGCCTGCCAGTGTTGTACCACGTTTCTTCAGCAAGTATCCATTCAGTCGCACTAATACCACTCGCACTGCTCCACCATCCTTTGTGCACACCCTCCAGCCACAGGTGGTACACCAGTTCGAACCGCCAACAAAGAAGTCGATATCGGAATCGAGTTTCAGCCTCGCGACCTTCAAAGCAGCAAGCGACCGATACGAATGCGGCCCTTCCACGCCAGTCCGGCCCTTCCACACCAGAGCGGCCCTTCCATGGACATTATTCCGTCGTTGATGGCCTTTAGGCAGAGGCCCCTCATTGCACATCGGGCCAAGCCCATGGATGAGGAAATTTGTGCGTTCCAGAACGCCCAGAAGTGCTCCAATGGAACTGGTTGGCAGCTCAGACGCGACCAGACAGATGTCGTGAACGGCGCCACCCAAGCCCTTGGCACAACGCCCTCCAGCATCAAGAGACGGCTAAGGATGCAGACCGCTGTGAGACGCGTGCCTCAAGTCGGCAGGCCGAAGCTTGACCAAAAACGCCCCCTTAAAGCAGATGGGCTGTCGCGCAAACTCTGGGAAAAGCAAAAGCCCATTTACACGACGTCTGGCAGTGTGGTGTTGGGGGTTTCAATGTACCCACGTCGGAGCAATCTGCCCTCGAAGGCTTGCCCCACGTTTCCAAAAGACCTTGGCGCTGGCCAAAGAGAGGGTGGGGGTGCTAAGAGCGCTCCACTCCTCTGCCCAGACCCCACGTCTTCTCACTCGCCAGCAGTTCAGCGTTTGCAATCAGGCTCCGCTGTCCGCTATCGGGCTAAGAGTAATAGTAGGACATGTATGCGCCTCCGCTGACGGTGCCCAGCTGGAAACCTTCTCGGGTAAAGGGAATGCTGGCTGTGTGCGATTCGTTCAAGCTTGCGTCGGCCGTTGCTTGCGCGGATCCCACCCTCCATTGTTCCGTTGCGCCAGCGGCCCCAGCACGCCTTGCATTGGCGCGTCTCTGTCACGACGGAGATTGGATCTTGGTCCTGTCTCCGGCTGACAACCTGGCCTGCGGATTCGTGCACAACAACACGAACCTGATGGCCCGCACGTGGCCCAGCGTTCACAGAGCCGCGGCACGCCTTGGCCTTGGTTGCGTTGCCCCGGACCTGATTCCAACGAATGGCCCTCTCAAACGCATTCGACGCGAGGCTCCCAGGAAATGCTACAGCCGATCCACCGGTTGCCGGTCGCGTGGGCCCCTCACACTACCCCATGTACTAGGCACCTCTAGTGGACTCTATGATGATGCCTGATGCAGAGCCAGCAGAAGAGCGTTGGAGAGGCCTCCCTTGGAGCTCGTGGGCGGTGCCGATTTCCCTGCTGCACGGTCATCTGGAAGCGCGCTATTGGGGGGGGGAGGGCACTGCAGCCGTGTCACTCCCGTGCGACCCAATGATGGGGTAACCGCAGCTCCACCCCGGGTGTCAGCATTGCCAGTCCCATCCATGTCTGCATCGCGGCGTGGCCGTCAGAAGCAATCAATTGCAATCCTTCGAGGGTCTGAACCAAGCCGCAAGCATCCTATTGTGTACAACCTCAGTATTGGTTCCGACCCCAACAAGATGCACTCTGATCACGAATACGATGGCAGATTGCAAGGTTGGGACGTATTTATACCAACCGCGTTCAGATACGAAGGCTCATTTCGCGGGACTATATATGTTGGTCAAGTATGCCTGGCATTACATGCGCGCGTCTCTGCGTCTGTATATTGTTTTTCTTTACGCGCAGACGTCTAATCTAGCCACGGACGGGTCGTGGTCGCTTGCCTGCGCAGCATCCTCCGGCCACGTATTGACATGAATATGCTCATATTGGGCATCCTGGCCCTTTGCAACCGCGTCCGATACAAAGATGTGGTCGAGCTGCTGGGCATTCATGTCGAAGAGGTAGGTGTAACGCTCCAATTCGGGTAGCTTGGCGACGGCATCCAAGTCCTGCAGTCCAGAGATGTTGACGTATTGCTCCAACGGCTCGACAAAGGCAAACTCATTGAAGTCACCTGCCGTGATGATGTGAGCATTCTTGTCCTTGGTCAGGATTTCCTGGGGTAACGAGTCAGCAGTTTCCTCTTTTCGTCATTCATTGCATCTGTTCCCAAAACAAACCGCGCTGCGCCTAGATTCAACACCAGGCGCCGCTATTGTGTTTCGTGATCAGTCGGAGGCTTCTAAGGTTGTTGCGCGACCGGGCGCCAAGGTCCGCTCGTGCGAGATTGCCATTGCCATCCTGGTATCTATGTACCATGTGGTACAGAGCGATCCGCGCGGCGTTTGGCTAAGCGCGATGCAGCCACCCTCTCCGTACCTCGTACCTGGGCATCTACATTGGTTCTCGAACATGAGTACGTACCTTGACAAAGTTCGCCGTGATTTGTGATTGGGCGAGTCTGTCGTCTACTCCTCCGTTGACAGGAGGGCGGGCATCGCCATGAAGACTGCTGCTTCCTCCCTTGGACCCAAAATGAACGTTGACGGTGAAGAAGACGTCGGGTTGGTTTCCTTGCTGGTTGCCAATTACCTCCCACTGTGCGGCGAGCGGCTTGCGACTTGCCGTCCATGCCTCGTTGGTAGGATCGATACTTCCGGGATTGAACCTCAGTGTTGGGCCATCAAGCACTTGGTTTGCGTCCAATGCGCCACCTGGATTGGGCTTGTAGAGACGAATGAGCGAAGGTTTGTAGAGGTAGGCCGTACGAATGTTGCCTCCAGGCTGACCACCATCTCTGTCATCTACTGGTGCAATATCCGTGAAGGCATAGTTTGGACCACCGGCCGCTGCAATGGCAGCTGTCAGAGTGCTCAACGTCAGGTTTGCGGATACCACTAAGCACAAGGTCAGTACAAGGAATTACACTAGATTTCCGACATCACGTGTATCGTCGCACTGCTAGAGGCCGAGGGGGAAGGGGGAGCTGGGTAGGACACCCGCGCGCTAGTATGTTGAAGACGGCGGGTGCAACGCGCGGTAGAAGGCTTCGAAGAAAGCGGAAAAGACTTACCAGCATCGTTGGTAGGACCATTGTCATCCTGTACCTCCTGCACAAATATGATATCTGGACTCTTCATATAGTTGACAATGTGTTCGGCCAGGAAAGGGTGGTGAGTCGAATTCGGAGCCAGGTTCTCGACATTGTAGGCGCCAAAAGTGATGCCATTGCACTTTCCACTCGACTCGAGTGTGGTTGGAGACGGCAGAGTCGGCTGCAGACTGCTGGTGACCTTGATGGCCGTCAACGGGAGGATTCGGTAGAATCCAAACGCGTACGAGACGACTCCCGTAATGTCCTCGATTGTGTCGCCCATCTTTGTAGTGGTAGGGTTCCTGGTCCCGTCGAGCGGCGTACCGATGATGATGGCCTCTGGGTTGGCGTCTCGATCCGTCATGGTCAATCCATTGCGAGCGTTCTTGCCCGTGACCTTCCAATCTCCAGCAACCCAGGTATCGCCAAACCGGCTGGGCTTTGTCAGCGCAGTAGGTTTCCTGACGGTTACAAGCTCGCCGGCCAGGGATTCCCAGAAATCGAGGCCGAATTGGTTGGGTTGAAGATCGGGATTGGCGACGCTGACGAGGGAGACATTGTTGGGGACTGCAAAGACATCGCCGCCGTCTAGACTGCTGTACTGCTCCGTCGGCGGTGCTCGTGTATCCAGTCCGAGGACGAGGGCAGCAACCTGGTTTCCGCGGCTGAGTCTGCGTTCGAGGACCGGGTCAGCGAGCTCAGTCAAGAAGAGGAAATCCCGATTGTTCCTGAACTCGAGGACTCGGCCCTGCACGACAATGGCATCGCCGACAGTCAAGTTTGCGCCAAACGTGCGGCTGAAAACGTAGAGGGATTCCGAGGTCCGCTCGTCGTGATCCGGCTCCGTCGAGCGCATCCAAAGACCATCTGGGCCCTTGGCGGTCACAATACCGCTGACATTGGACACCGTCTGCTCTCTCAGCGGCGAGAGAAACTTGGGCCCATTGATTTCCGCAATCGTAGTCGCGCTCACCGTAGCAACAGCGAGGGATGTCGCGAGCGCGAGGATGCGCGTAAATGTCGCCATGACGAGACGAAAAGGCGAATGAAATGCGCGCGCGCGTCTCAAACGGGGTCGTGTGAAGGCGAGAAGGCGGCCTGGGGTAGGTATCTAGCAATGCCGTGGCAGCAGCGGCAGCAGCAGTACCGGTAGTAGTACGAATATACCCAAAAGCCCTTTGCCTACCCCTTGAATTCCTCCAAGCATCAATCGAGTCCTTTGCAGCTCTTATACCCAATCTCCTACACCCTCGTCCCCCCCAGGAACCCGGTCCCTCGCATGAATAGGTACCCAGTAGATAAATATTCCACCCCCCCAAGCACGCACTTGTCCTGTTCCTAACCTCCACCACCGCGACTCTAACCCCAACACCGTATCAACCCCCTCCCCCAGGGCCGCCAGATTGCTCGAGTGCACTACATCCCTCGTCCTCGCTTGGCAAGGCCTGGCTATCTGGGATTCCAGGACGTGGAGAGCAGTCGGACTGGTCAGACTGTGGATGTGTCGGCGGCGTGAGCTGCGTGGGCGCTGTGGTTGGTGGGCATGGGCCGAGGCGGGTTAGCTGGATCGGGAAGGTGTTGGCGTGGCTGGATCGGGGGGCTGAGATTGGGGACGGCGAGATCCGCGTGAGGGTTGGCGATGGCGACCTTTACGTGGATGGGGGGTGGGAGAGTTGGGCGCATGTGGGTGGTTGGGAGGGAGAAGAGGATATATTGGTGGTGGTCGTGGTCGTGGTCGTGGTCGTGGTGGTGTTTGTGGAGTGGGTTCGTGGATGTAGATAGATCATCATGCATGGTGGCTATTGGTACCTACCCATGGGACGAGCTGATGAGGGCGCTAGGTTCATTATCAATCCTATTGAATGCTGCAAAGGAGTCTGTACCCAGCGGTCAAACACAGTATTTCGGGTTTCCCTTGCATCTGCAAAAGGACGATTGGAAGTCGAGTTGTGGTTCAAGATGGCTACTTTTACCCAGCACAAATCGCTGCAAGATCTACGGTACGAGGGACGCACTTGAGATCACCAAAGGGAACAACGGACACTGAGGTAGGCTGGGCACGCATAGGTTACCGGTACCAGGCTGACTGCCTACTCTAATCACTACAACCACCAAGTTATCAAGCTGTCCACAAAACGAAGGCGTCACCATGCAAATCTTGCAGGAGGAACATCGAACCACCCTTCAGATCGATCTTCTCTTTCATGTCGACCAATGCCATCATCCTCCTCCTCCTCCTCATCATCATCATCATCCTTCCGCTAGGTAACACCTTCAAGATCATCCTCAATTGTCTTTGGAACCCGCAGGGCCCGGAGGATCGGCTAGACTGCCTTGGCGCGACTTCCACGCCGAGTCGCGTCTTCGCTTTTCCTCTTCTGCTTTTCTTGCATCTTCTCCGACCACAATCTCGCGTCCCTTCCCTTTGTCAGACTGTGAATGGCGTCGGGCCTCTGAGTCCGAGAACCTTTGATCTTCGTGCTCATGATCGCTGGGAGGTTGGTCTTCTGTGAGCGAGTTGGTCAGTAACAAGATCCATGTAGAACTGTGTGTCGGTGCAGAAGAGAGGAGTAGGTACATACCCATCTCCGTGTCGGCCGGCTCGTCTCCTGCGCCATCGTTCCAGTCCTTCACTCGGTCCTTCGCCCTGCAAACTCTCTTCTTCAATGCTTCGGCTGGATCTTCTTCGCTTTGGCTTGGACTGCTGTCTTCCCATTGCCTATTGAGGGCTGCTGATCTGCTCATTCTCTCTCTGACCGGCTCTCCTACAGAGGATCAGTAAAAGGGGAAATCCATGCAAATAGGCCACGTAGGAACCACAAATCATCAGAGCTTACCTTCAACAGGCGTTCCAAATCGGGACTGCACAACAACGCCGTCCTTCATCTTGTCTTGCACTGCCTGCAAGCCTTGGATCAATTTCTTCGAGGACACTGCTCCAATGGGAACATCATTCGAGAGCGTAGGCGTCTGGGTCGGAGTCTCGGGGTAGGGGCTTAGGAGCCTGGCCCTTTGTGCGGCTCTCTGCGGTGTGGGTTCGAACAGTCTACCTGATCGTCGCGAAGGGGATCCTGATGTGTTGTCTGGACTTTTGGTCTCAGGTCCCTCGCAGTCATCTTCCATTGGCGAATTTTGCCTGGTCATGTATACAGTGAGGAACAATTCGGGGTGATCCACAAGTATCGGAAGCATGCAGTCTTGCATGCTGATCAGCCGGGTTCGAAGTTGGGGATAGCAGCACATGGCTTCGAAGAGTGCGCGAGATAGGAACCCCTTTACTGATACCAGGCCAAGGTGACTGTCACAACGGGATGGTTGAGTCATGGTGCCGCTGACTGAAATCCGTCGTTCGAGAGAGCTTAGGAGCTCCAGATACGATGGAGGTGCGTCTTGTAGCTCATACACATGATCCGCATCCTATGCTGTCTCTTGTGGTGGAGTCATGTTCATGTCCTGAACTGTTGACGGTCTTAAACGAGATAGGTGTGAAGATGAGAGCGAGAGTAATCTAGCCATTAGCAAAGGAAGACTCGTCACATGTCGGTGTGTGGCTTACTTCTGGTCGCTTGAGCAAAGGCCAAGTCGATATAGTGATGATTCCAAACGATGTCGATTAGGTATGAGCTGCTGATCTGTTGGGTATTTTGGTTCAAGGACACGACTTTGAAGGCGCAGAAGATAACAATGGGGCACGGTGCAAGCGTTGCTCGCTTGATCAGGAAAGGCTCATTGAGGAAAACATACAACACAGCGCACGGGTGAAGGAAGAGCATAGGCGTAGACCAGCACCTGCCCTGCCGTTCTGGGACTAGTGCTTCTGGTCTCCATCCACCCTCAGAGACCCCCGAGCTCGGTAGAATCTTAGTCACAATTCAAGACTGTAATCACATCACATAGGACAGTACGGACACGAGGCATGATGCGGATTCATTGCCAAAGCATGTATTTTAATAGGATTTCAGGCCTCTTCCACCCCAGAGAATCAACCATGTAGGTGTCGCTTGTGAATATCATTTCGAAGTCATTCTGTTGAATTAAACACGGCAACCTCAACCCGCAAAGACAGTCAGGCTGACATCAAAACAACATATCATTGCAATCAGCCGAAACAAGAAATCACAAAACTCTGGCACGAATCTACACTACCTATCGCACCCCTCTCCCTCTCCTACAGCAAATGTATGACCCCAACATGTTCCTCGCCTCCCCAAAACTCCTCAAAACATTCCCTCAGCAACTTCAGGTCCTTTTCAAACTCCAAAATAGCATTATAGATCAGACCCAGATCTAGAGTACGCGGTGACCTCACTGAATTCGGTATCTCAGTCGAGCTGGCTGACTGTGACACCTCCTGCTTTCTCTCATTTTCCACAGTGGCAGATGGTCCTGCTGTGTTATCGTCGTGCTCCGGGAGATTCATGGGCAGCGTTGCATCTACTGCGTCGGCGATATAGACAGTCTGCGGTGTGTTTTGGTGCGATGGTTCAAGGTAGAAGTTACCATGATCACACGGCCGTTCGTAACCTTGCTGGCGGTAGGTGGGTTGGGAATGGGCCCATCTCGTGGTTTCTAGGAGACCTGGCCTCGTATTTCCATTTACAATGTAGTTATAACGCATGAGTCCTCCGGGCACGACGCCATCAGGGTATATAGCCCTGTCGCTTCTATGGCTATGGGCGCAAGGAAGCTGTGAGGAGGAACGTGTTCCACCGTGTAGTCGGTTGTACTGATCCATTGTTGATTGTTGATGCGAAGATTGCAAGTGCTAGAGAGCACGTTTGAGTAGATGATCGATGGAATGAAACTCTTCTACCACGCACTTATAAGTACGGACTGTGGCATGTTGGGTTTGGTGGACGCTCGTTTGAGCCATTCGAAAAGTAGTGTTAGTAGAAACGAATGTAAAGCTACACTTCAAACGAACATATGCGCGATTGCAAATTGCACTCATATCAGATTGTCTCAGATGACACATCTGCTAGACGCCCTGGCCAACACCTCGATTGCATAAGATCGAATAACAAACCAAGACTGTCGTTGATGGATCAGATTTGCATCACACCTTCCATTCAGCATATCTGGAACTCTGCCTTGAACAGGCCTCAAGCCTACAGTCATCCATAAAACCCCTTTGCCTGAGACCATGTTTCGGTTATTTTTAGTATATCACCAATTGATAAGTTCCGCGTAGAATACCCAATGACAGTTTTTGTATGTGGTAGCACAGACTGTAGTGAGAGGAACGTAGTCCTATTTCGCCTCGACGCCCGGGCGCGGTCGAAATGTAATAAGAGAAATGCAGTCAGCGAAATTCTCCAGACTTGTGTCATCATAACCGAAAGAACAGGTTTCCATATCATAGATAGATTGAGAGCTGTATGCTTCTTCTCAAGCTCCTCATACACGAGCAGTTGCCTAGATTCAACATCCCTCTAGCAAAGTATCATCACCGACCTTTGGATCTGTAATCGTGCGCCTTGTCGGCGGCGCCGAAGAGTTTCCCTCGATACGAAAGGTCTCATAATCGAGCAAATCAGTGGGCGTGAAAGCAATGTACGACGTTTCAACGCGGAATACCCAAAGTTCTACATGACACAAAACCTCGCATCGAGACACAGGAGCACTAGGTTTGACTGGCCTGACCTTGCCTTTGGTACTGACAGCAGGTTCGTACAACCTCATGACACTCTGCAAAACACAGGTATGACGCACGCACCGTCCATGAAGAAGGGCTAGAAGGGCTTTGTTCATCTGCTACGGGCGGATGCCACACGGGAAACCCCGCTTGCCGTTGTTTATAATCATGGCCCTAGATATTTTAGTGGATTTGCTGTTTCTTTCACGAAGCGTTCAGTAAAAGACCACTGCTCAAATCCGTTGTCAAGTTATTTGATTCGTCAAGTGTTGTGTTCACTGATATTGGGGTGAAAGCAGGAATGCCACGACATGAGCTTAACGAGATACCCTCGCCTTGGATTTGTTTGCTGCCGTTTGACAGGGTCATACTACGTGGTCCATGGTGACTTGCAGCATCATAATAATCGAGAATCGGGAAGGTGTGTTGGACCGAGCCGATTCTTAGATATCGCCACGTCGAGTTTTGCTAACTACGTGTGAGTCTTGAGCGGCCCATGGTTGAGACCAGAAGTCGCATGGCCAGTGTCTCGCCAATCGATCTCATCAAGTAGAACAGCACAAGCTGGGTGATAGACTTTGAAGGAATCCACTACGGGTGGCACATTGCCATGTTAAGCGCAATGCTAGCTTGATACCATGCTATAAGATGTCGAGGTTCTCCGTACCTTGACACGTAACCTCACTCGTTCATCCATCAACTTCACCCTTGACAGCTAGGGGCTTTTTTTATCACCCAGTTTCTATACCTTCGCCATAGTCTGCATTGGGTTGCACGTATTTTGCCCAAGGAGGTTCGTCATGTTCGACCTCTCATATGCTCCCCGGCGATCCCGTGGCCACAGATTCCCCACAGCCGACAGTCTCTTACCATATGTGTACGGAGACTATTCTACGGCATACAATGGCTTTGGTAACTTCCGCGGCGGAGGTTCCGATTGGGATCGTTCAACGTTGTTGGCCTACGAGGGGCCGAACAGTATTGAGGACGCCACTCGCGCACATGTTGCTGCCAAGGCCGACTGGGAAAAGGCAAAGGAGAAGCACGATGAAGCGCAAAAGAAGTTGGAGGAGTCTGAGAAGAAGTTAAAAGAGTGCGAGGATAGATTGCGAGCTGCGAAGCAGTATGAAAGATATCATTGATTGTTGTGCACTGTGTTTTTATGGGGAGGAGATGGTCGGCCACTTCTTGAGATTGTTCTTGTGGAGGTCAGAGGCTATTCACTTTGGATGTATGTGTGCAAAGGCGTTTCTATTGTTGCAAACTGCACAGTATGAGAACAGTAAATAATGTCATGTTATCATCAATCGAGCTCGTCGGCGACGCGGTGTAAGACTATAGCCAGCTAGCCAATGGAGTGCGAAAGACGAACACACAGGGGAGGTGCAGTAACCAGTTGCACAATGGGCTGGGCCGCTTCATATCAGCTACTTGGATGATCATGAAGTCTTATCGATAATCTAGTCCAAGTTGATGGTAGTTAACTACATGAGGTCACGCGTATGAATGGTTGGATTGCGTGCGCCACCAACGCACCTCACATGTGATCACTTCAGACCGCGTTCTTCCCAAATTGCCCCTGCAAGGTCAGCTTCAAGAGATCATCTCTAACGATCTCGTCCTTTCTCTCCAGCAGATCATTGACATTCCAGTTAGCCGCGATGAACCTCCCACTCAGAAACTTTGCCTTTTCTTGGCAAAGCCAGACGGTGGTGCCTCCTACCAACTCTGGGGAATCCTGATTGAAGAGCGAACGGAAAGGCTCGCGCAGCATATCAGTTAGGACGAGACCAGGATGCATTGACACCGCAGTCACGTTGGGGTACTCGGCGGCAACATAGGTTGCCAGATTATCAAGAATAAACTTTGACATGAAGTACCCGCCGAGAGGTGGGACCACGAAAAAGGCCTGCCATGAGCTGATGTTGACGATAGCAGCAGGTGTGTCTGGACCAGGCAAGAGGCGTAGAAATGAGCGAATCAGCAGGTAGTTGCCCTTGCCATTGATCTCCTATGGCCACATGTCAGTGAGGTGAGAGAGTCTCGCTACCAACTAGGGAGTAAAGGAGTTCTCGCTGTCGAGTCAAGCAAAAAGGAAACCTCTAGCACATACGAAGTTCCGCCACCACTCGTCAGGATCCGTCTCGTGGAGTTTAGGTCCGTCACCAGTCATGGCACCAGCGGCGTTAATCAGGAAATCAGCATGGCCAAACCTCTGCTTGACCTGTTCAAAGGCAGCCTCGACTGCCTTTGTGTTGGATATATCCAGAGCACAAGTAAGAGTCTCGATACTTGGGTTCGATGTCCTGATCGACAGCTCGGTTGCGGCAAGCTTCTCCGCATTAGAAGCTAACAAGACCATACCCTTAACGCCAGCTTTGACAAACGCTGGGACCATTGCCTACTCACATCGAACGATCAGTACGCATAAGATTTGTTTTAAACGACGACGGGCCTATTCTTACCAGAGCACCGATGCCTCGCGAAGCACCAGTAATGACCACCACTTTGCCAGCCAGACTATGCTCAGGGAGACTGGGGTCTATCGCCGGGTACACATCCTGTTGCGCGTTCTTTGTAAACTGCATGGATGTCACGTAGTGGTCTTTCGGGAGCTTGCTGAGGTCCGCCATGGCGACGAGCAAGTTTGAGGTCTGAGGAAAGGGATGAAGAGGTACTTGATGGGCCCAGGGTAAGCAATACGGCCTGAATCTTCTACCTATGTAAGTAAATATTGGATGACACTAAAGGTGAAGCTGCAAGAGCGGAGCCGAAGCTCTCAGAGCGCGGGCTTCATCACCGTCAGGCCATCATTGGTCGATCTGCAGTCTGCCACCAGGGGATCGTTTCACCCGTCGAAGTTGGGAAAACACTTGCATTTCCATATCGGTCCGGCAGGTCTTGGACGATTCAGACATCGTGCAGTGTTTTGTACAAGAGGGAAGGGCAGACGACGATCATTGGTACTTTTGGTGCTGATCTGTTGGGGCAGCCGTTGCTTGTCAGGACGAAAGGGGACTAGTACGAACAACGTCCCGACCCGCCCAGCCTTGGTCCAAACCGACTCTGACGACGGCTTCATACGCTATGATGAGGAGTATCTGTACGGAGTAGGATTGCGGATTCGGTAACGCTTTCTCTTGTTCGTCGCTGTTGAGCCCGGAAGATGGTCTTGCCGCTGTTGATTTTCAGCTTTCCACCTTGGTTAGACGATGACCTGATGGAGTGAGCAAGTACCTACCGGTACGGTAGTGTCAAAAGAAAATATCCTGCGAGCGCTGATTGATATCATTCGACTGCATCGCTCTACTGCACCTCTTGGCTCTTCCCGGGACCTTTGGTAGCCGTGAGGCGGGAAGCGGGACCCTGTTTGAGAATGATAAAAAAATCCCTGACGATATACGCCGATCAGCGTGATGAACCACCAGGCACCGTTCCACTGTGTGGAGAGTCAAGGTCGAAACGATGCTCGCTCGTGTGCTTGATATCGTTTATAAGGCTTTGTCCGACCGGTAGTTCCACCAACAGCTCCTACGCCATTTTGTGTACCAAAGTAATCTTGATCTTTTTTTTCTTGATAGTGCCATAATGACCCTCCAGGCAGTGAGTGAATATATGACTGTGAGTCGGGAAAAACTTTTACTAAACACCGCGGCAGGATCTAGGGCCGAATCTTACGGCAACGGTGCTAATCACAGGATCGCTGGCATTTATCACGATGGGACTGCGAGTCTACACCCGAATCACCAAGCGTAATTGGGGCACGGAGGATTGGGTCATGTTGTTTGGATGTGTATGTTGACAAGAGCCTTTGCATTTCTCACTCCAAAATGCTAATTCGTCTCAGTTACCCTTGCTGACCTTGACCATTGTGACAACCATCGGCTCATACTACGGGATTGGTGCCAAGGACAGTACATTCGCCCTTCCTGGGAACAAAAAATACATCGAGACAGCATACTTTGTAAGTTCAAGTGGGACCCACGGTGTCGACCTCTACTCACAGTCTATCCAGTGGTTCTTCCTCTACGAAGTGTTCTACTGCACGTCCATCATTTTTATCAAGCTGAGCATTGCTTTCATGCTGAACCGGATCGCCGGTAACCAGAGGATCTTCATCTATACAAACTATGGCATCATGGGACTCTGCGGCAGTGTTAATCTTGCCGCGGCCCTGTATATCATATTCCAGTGCAATCCCGTAGAGTACGCATCAGCCTAGGACACTGATGTTGCAGAAGCCACGACTAACTGCTCATAGAGCCGCCTGGAAAGCCGAGCTCGTAGCCGAAGGTGGCCATTGCGAGCCTCCTGTATACTTGCAAAACGTCTATTACTTCTGTTCATCGGTCAACATCTTCACCGATTGGGCGACAGCTCTGATGTTAGTAGCCATTCTGCATCTCTTTTGACTACACTGACACACATATAGGCCGATCGCAATTCTCTGGAACGTGCAAATGAACCGGAACACCAAGATCACAGTCGCAGGTATTCTCGGTCTAGGAATCTTGTGCGTAACCTTTTCCTTACTTAATACCAGAGACTAACAAATCAACAGCACATCCGTCTCCGGTCTTGTGCGAATGAAGTACACCGTAGGCTTAACCAGCGATCACGACTACCTATGTAAGCAATTCCCTCTGCAATCTACCCGCTCCCTCGCCACCACTAACACACGCAATGTAGACGGACTCGCAAACATCCTCATCTGGGGCTACGCCGAACCCGCCCTCGGCATGATCGTCGGAAACATCGCCACCCTCCGCCCTCTCTTCCACCGTATGCTCCATCTGGGATCAGAAAGCTCGGGCCCGCGGCCCTCAAACGACACACCGGGCTCTGACAACACGCCCAAGCACATGCACCCCTACAAGCCCTTTGACACCGAGCACGAACTCGGCACGCTGGATGAGAGTGTTTGCTGTAAAGGGGGCGATCACGTTTCGACGGAGATTCTGGGGGCCAAGGGCAGGCAAGGGAGTATTTATAGTGAGTCGGAAAGTCAGAAGCAGTTCTTGGAGAAATGGGAGGATAGGTCGCCGTCGAGAGGGGCGATTGTGGTTAGTCAGCATGTGGAAATTAGTCGCCATTGATTTGGCGATGGTTAGGCAGGTCGCAAGGATGGGCTGAAAACTTAATTGCTTGGGTCTTGCAAGTTTAAAGATATGTACATTATGAAAACAGAAGATACGGAATATTTACAAGGTAATGATAAGGCTTGATGCTGTTTTGTAACAAGAGAACAATTAGGAGGGGTCAATGTGCACATCCTCTAAACAGAGTGTGCACATCTACCCCGAGGACTCATCCTCACTACACATTTGACGTCCTCGCCGTCTCTCCTTCATAAATAGCAATGCCAAACGGTCTGGACCATTTACTACCAGCACTGTCTTCAACCGACACTGTGAGTCGCTCGATACCTGTACCACTCGCAGTATACGTAGCAACGGAGCCCGAGATCTCAAGATTCCCATGTTTAATACCTTCAACTGAGAAAGCGGGATTTACAAAGCCTCGTGCCAATGCAGCTAGATCGATTGTGGCAGAGCCGGATGGCTTGACGAAGATATGAGGCTCAGCCATGAAATGGAGGTAGCCTTCCAGAGGCGTGTAACCCTCTCCGCCCGTTGAGCCATCCCACCAATCTGCAATGCCATCTCCATCAGCGTCCCAGGTTCCTGGCCGCTGGACGGATGGGAAGTCTTCGAGTCCACCAACATCGGTGGGGTTATCGATGATGCCTGGTTTCTTGCCTCTGCTTCCCGTGTAAGTTGCCGTGCCGTTGAGCGTCTCCAGGACAATACGTTTGTCGTGGTCATCTTGGACGGGCTGTGAAGCACCGCTATCACTCAGTACGATCTTGTAGGCCTCTGTAGCTGACTGTGTTGTGACGTAGCTTTCGAAGAAGGGTTCATCGACAAACTTGCGGTAGTCAACTCTGTCGATTGTGACGTCGGCATAGCATGCTATTCTTTGCTTTTGGCCTGTCCCGTCATCAACATACTGGATATCAGTCTCATCAAATATGCCAGGCATAACATTTCCGGCACAGTAGTACTGCTGTGTACCTGGAAGCCCGTCTTCGTATTGTGCACGTAGGGCGTACGTGAGGTTTGAAGCGGGCCCCTGCTTGTACAAGTTCGATACGAATTGGCCCTGATGCGTTCCGCCGTCTGTTACACGGCTGCCGAAGTTGTAAACAACGTTATTGCGGATGTCCAGCTTGCCAGCAAAATGAGCGTTGGAGTCCACGCCACCGGCCATGCTCCAACTTCTACCCTCGGCGTGTGCAATCAGATTGTGATGGAAGGATCCCACGTCTCCGCCGATAGAGGCCGCGAAGCCATGGGCTTTGCCCTCGGGGTAGTTCTTGTGGCCTGCGATGTTGAGGGGCTCGCTGATCATACTGCGCTGGAGGGTGATGTTTTGTGCACTCCGTGACGAGAAAGACTCATCAATGGTCCAGCCTAGACTGCAGCGGTCAAAGATGGCATGATTTGAGCCTTGCATCCCCATTCCATCAATGGTTTGATTCGAGACTGTACCTGGCCGCACGCGGATATGTTGAAAGATAACATCAGTTGCGCCGCTAAGTCCGAGTGGGTGTCCTTGAATGACTATGCCCTTCCCTGGCGCTGTCTGCCCGGCCAACGTGATGTATTGACCGTTGACCGAGATGCGAGACGTCGTGGTAATCACACCACCGACATCGAAAACTATGGTCCGAGGTCCCGTGGCCTTTGACAAAGCATAACGAAGTGTACCCTCTGCTTCGTTATCTTCAAGAGATGTCACATGAACAACTTTTCCACCTCTTCCACCACGAGCGAACCGTCCATAGCCCTCAGCTCCAGGGAATGCCAGCTGCGCACGGCGGAACATGTATACATGGCCCTGGTAAACCTTTCCTTCTGCTACCACGTCAACTCGCCAGTAATACGTATCTTGGGTGTTGATGTTGGAAAGGGTGGTACTAGTTTCCGACAGCCCTTTCGCTACATTCTCAAGTCTCTCCCTCGATGTTCCAAAGTATACGTCGTATGAAACATTTCCTGGCCGAGCGCCTGTCCAGGATGCAGTGACAGAGGACACTCCCTCATCCATCTCGACTCTTTCATTGCGATGATTAGGACTAGGAAAGCGGATCTGCTCGTCAAGCGACGGAGTATCAATCTCAAACCCATTGAGAAAGACCCGACCGTCGGCACTGGTGTTGGGCGTATAGACAATATGGACAGGCTTTCCTGATGTAGCGTTGAACTTCAGATATGACGCACCCGACTCCCAAATGTTATCCACCCGGGTTGATTGCTTAACATTTGTAGCAGCTTCTTTGTCGTCGATCTTGATGTTCACCGCGGCTGTCTCATTTTGCTGGTCCCACGCATTGTGCCAAGTAAGAATCGAATGTTGACCACTCTCCAGACCTGTGATGCGTAGTGTGATGGCCACGCCTCCAACATTGTCACCACTATCTGACTGGGTAGAAATTCCTGCCGAGACGACGCGTTCGCCCAGAGAAGCGATCGGGCGTGTGTAGACAATTTTGTTGGAGTTACCGCTCAGTTTGCCGCCGCCAGCGGCGAGTTCAAATGTAAGATTGGCAGCGAGGTTGCCAGTCTCAAAGATTGTGGAAGCAGCATTTGGTACAGTCCATGTAGCAAAGTCTTCATCTGGTGAGTTACGAACTGAAGCTGGAAGGAGTCGTACGCGAACAGCGGAATGATCGCCCACTTCGCTAGAATCAATACGTGGTGAGAGGGAAGTGCTTGATGCAGCCGAGGCAACGCTCAATAAAAGAACAAAAGTCAATTGGAATAATCCCATGGTGTTGACAGTCAGTAGACAGACCATATGTTGGATACTGGAGCGAGAACAGGACTCAGGAGTAACAAGTTCATTGTAAAGCTTGCCGGATAAATGTCTCCTACAGCCCTGCTTGAGGTTGACATTACTCCATTACATTAAGGGACAAGCACTGTGGGTATGGGACTGGAACTGGGCGATCTACGCAAGGTAAGTTCCCTTACTACTGTGGGAGAAGGTCAAAAGTACAAGGCACCCCCATGAACGGACTGCTAGCGTCTAATCGTGGCACTGCATACCTTTTGGTCTTTCACAAAGCGAGGCCAGCAGTCCGTTCATGAGGGTGCCTTGTAGCATGGATAGACGACGAACGCTCACCAACATCCAACATCCAGCAAACCGTACCATGTATTTTATATATTCCTATGCAAGAGATTTTCAGTGGCGAGTAGTAACCTACCGGTATGTAAGCAAACTGGATTATTTCGTAAAGTCTGGTGATGGTGTATGGTAATTGCAAGTTTTGCCACACTCCACCTACATGGCATTTACATTCTGCCACAGTGAATCTGATTCGCGGAAATAAATTGCCGTTTCGAATCGTAGCCAAGTTAGCTTACAGGGGTATTTTATTTCTTGGGCAACTTATCTGAAATGAGGCTAAACAGACGATTCAGCTCGCGATTGCATAAGTAGTAGCCTTCGAATTATTACTGGTATTATGTGTGCACGTTGGAGTAATGCGAGTATCGGTTGTTTTGCATGCGACATGTTGATGGTACGGTACCCATGGGGTTTATTGATGTATAGGTTCCTGGCAAGCTATACCGTACTATAGACAGTGAGTGGCATGCTTGAATACCCAGTGCTTGCGCTGGCAACCTTTCGTTCAGTTTCCGATGAATCCGGAATATTCAACATGAGACATGAGAGGTATTCCAGGAGAAATTGCTTGTGTATTCGGAAGTGTGGAGCCTACAGGAAAGATTGAGATGGACATGCCAAGGACGCGCGTGACGCGTTGACAGCCTTGGTCGGACCAGGGGGAAAGCCTAATCTCCTTCACCATCGGCATGTGTGAAAATGTACTGTACACCAGAGCAATCAGGTCAAGAGGCGGACGAAGAAATATCACGTGGAACTAAAGGTCAAGATGTGTCAAATGGGTCGATGCGACCATGGCGACACGGTACGCTCAATTCATAATGATGTCAAGACAACGACTAGTCATTGCGTACCTGCATGAAGTGAGCTCATGGCTACAACATAGCCATGACAGCATGTGTGACCCCTCTTTACTACAACATTAAAAAGTTCTCTGGACAGCTTCAAAGTAACAAAGAGCCATACACATCGACAAACTTAAACCCTTCGTCTTCTTCAACTCTACAACCCCCAAAACATAGAGACCCAATGCCTCGCATGGTAGCACCACCGCCTTCGGGCGAGGAATTCCAAATTGCCTTGAGCAGACCATTCAGCGGCACACCAATCCATAAGATCGAAGTCATTGGTGCTCCCAACAGCTCCGCCAGCATCCGCCTTACAAACTACAATGGCAGCAACAAGTCCTCTGAGAAGAAGGGCGATCGATGTTCCCACGTACGCTATGATCCCTCACCACTAAGTTCCCCATCACCACCAACCACTACTGACATGCATCTTCTCAGAGACGACGTAAAAGAGCTCATGTCTCTAATCTCGACTCTGCGCGGTTTCCCCTCGCACGAGTCCAAGGACATCTACGGACTGGATGTAAAAGTCGACTTCAACACCGTCGAGATCCAGTGGAGTAACCAGGATGAGGATCCTGCGGCGGTGGGTGTCGAGGTGGCGGGAGAGCAAAAGGATGACTTTAAAAGAATTGTGGATAGTATTGAGGCTTTGGCGAGGCAGTTTGCTAAGCAAGACTCTGCTGTGTAGATGCAAATGTGTAGGTTTGCAATAACGACAAATTACATTTTACATCTTGCCATTCAGTAACATAAGCCTATGTAATTGTAAAACAGCATGAATAGCGGATAACGCAAAATAAACATAGAAATAAGGGTGCAGGCACCAGGCCAGCACCAAAGGATATACAGCCCAAGAGGAACCCGGGGGGAAAAAAGAATTAGAGCTTGCCAAGTCATGTCAACTTCAAGCAGGATACAGCGCATCTCCAACGCGTCAAGTATAAATACTCTCGGTGAAGGAGTTGACGGCTAATCCCTTCTCCGCCATGTTCTCATCCTCCAAAAACTTCAACTGCATCCACACAAGATGGCCCTTGATCTTGTCCAATTCTGCCCGAATCTCCCGGACAGGCCGTACCATGTCGTATAGGTGACCCTGCTTATGGTCCTTGTCTGCCTGTGGATTCGGCGTGAACGCATCATAATCTGCAAAAGTGCGAATCCTGTCATCAGGATCGGCGTGGAAGAGCGTGCGGAAGACCTCAGTGTTTTCGGTTGCGCGTTTGCACCACTCGTCCCAGAGTTTTGGAGAGAGGGGGTCGGAGACGAAGTCGGCTTCAGGACCCGGAAGTGTGTCATTGGGCGAGTTATCGCCAGGTGGTTGGGCGTTGGGATCTTCAGATCCGTCGAGAGACTGGGCGGGGAGAAGACCAAGGTGCTCGCGCCAGAGATTGGAGCGGAGTTCGTGGGCAAGTCGTGCTGCTTTATAAGGCTTTCCATCCAGCTCGATGTCGATCTCGTCCTTGTCGTGTAGAACAATCGATAACTCTGAGTCGTGGAAACCTAATTGCGACCGGTCGTTGATATTTGAGGAGCCACAGATGACATACTTCTCATCAACGATGCACAGTTTCGCGTGAATGTACAACTCTTCCTGGAAAAAGAACTGCTTTTCGTCTTCTGGGTCGCCCTCCCACTCTTCGGTGCTCGGCTTCTTGTCGTTGAGCATTGCATCATCAGCAATAGAATCAGGGTCAAGGATGCCGCCTTGATCTCCCAAGCCAACATCTTCATCCTGGTTGAAGAATTTCTGACGCAACTCCTTCGCGTGCCGTCGAGCCTCTTCACCACTTTCCTCAAGCGGAGCTTCGAGTTCCGCAATTTCAGCTTCTTCGAGATCCATGTACGTCATACCTGACTCCTGCTCGCGCTTCTTAAGCGTGGGCGTTACATTGATACGATCATACGAGCGCAGATTGAAAAAGAAGATGTACTTCTCTGGATCCACACCTTGTGCCCTCACTTTTCCGTATATACTTTCATCTCCTCTGCATATACTTTTGAATTGGTAGTCCATAATCGCTCGTGTACCGGCCGCTGCGTTATCTCGCAGATCCCCAGCGAAACCGGGGATCGCTGGGATGATGATGATCATCTTGAAATGACGTCCCTCTTTGTCAGCCTTGACAACTGCGTCAACCATAGCAGCTCCTATCTGGTTGTGAACCGCATTCTGGTCGTGCTTGTCTGTGGCCGTGATGAAAAATTGGTTCTCGATATAGACGTAATGCTGCGCATTGCGTATGAGTTCACAATACGCATTTTGTATACTTTGCTCATGTGGTGCGATACCCATACTCCAGTCTGCGCTGCTTCGTACAAGCTGGGCATGGACTGTTCCACGGTTGTCGAGGTTCTTTGTGTTCAGTTGAGTAAGAGGATGGTGTACGTATTGACCGACAGGGAATTTGGGTCTTTGTACTCCAATCAGATCTTCATCTGCACCTTCTCGGCCTTCCAGAGTGAGCCAGTCGTAGCGTTCATCGCGCTTGTATTTATCTCGTTTCATAAAGTTCCAGCGCAAGACGAAGTGTTCTGCGATGTCGTAAACCGCAGGCCCGATAACGCCCATTGACACATCGTGCCATGGCATGCGACCGTACTCAAGCTTGTTCAGCTTGTTTGACTTCCAGTCATCGACGCCTTCAAAGTCCAGAATGCGGTTATTATTAAAGTCTTGGCCAGGGAAGATCTGGTTCTGAATACCAGACGGGTGCACATCAGAGAGGGGATGTTGCTTCTCGTCCCATCGTCCGTAGCATAGATCTAGTCCGCCAATGAAGGCCATGGCATAGTCGATCACGATGAATTTCTCGTGATGTGCCCAGTAAAAAGTCATATCTGAGGCATTCTCAAAGACGTTGTGGTCAGGATGTCTCATGACTGTGATGTTTCCGTATCCAGGCTCACCCTCTTTGAACATGTTCATGAGGGCCTTCTTAGTATGCTGGCTGTTGCAGGTAAGAGCAGCAGACACCTTTGCCATTCGTCAGCTGGGATAAAGAGTCATCTTCAACCACAGCCCTTACCTCTTTGTAAACAGAAACGTAGATTTTGACACCAGCCTGCGCTCTTCGCTTGAGGATCTGGTCCAGTCGCCATTTCTGATTGTAGAAGGGTGGCCTCTTCAAGAACAGCTCAGGGCTCAGCCACCAATCTGCAATGTAGATGGTTTCCTTCGCTTGCTCCAGAGCCTCGGCTACAGCCCAGAAGTAGTCTCTGCCATCGACATACCATTTCACCAGATTGCCCTCTCTCTCCGGCGCAAAGCTGTTGAACCGATGGTTCTCTGCAATTTTCTCTCTCTTGGCGTCCGTGGCCTTTTCGTGCTCCTCATCATGGCGATGATTGGTGTTGAAAAGGTTGGTGAATTTGCCAACTTTGTGTTTCGCATGCACAGCCTTGATATGCACCTCCTTGAGTTTGGTGTGCGCAAGTTTATCTTGTAGGTCCTGAATCTTCTCCGACGCTCTGTGATTGAAGGGATGGAAGAGCTTTTTTAGGCCCTTCTGGTGTTTCCCCGCATCAGACATGGCTGTGGCTGTGGCCGTGCGTTGCGGTCTGCAAACGAGAAGGATAGACCTGCGAACGGTGAGGCTTGAGAGAGGCCGAGGAGTGAGGCTTTGGTGTGGAGAAGCGCTCGCTGTGGCATGCGTTGGTCTTGTAGGTACATGTAACAAAGCCTTGGACAGGCTTGGAAACCGGTATTCACTTGTATGTAACTTCGCTTTGGGACGACGACCGGCGTTTAGCTCTTCATGGGGGGGTTTGTTGCGGAAGGAACGGGATGGCGGGCTGTTCAATGACGTACAGCCACGCTAAGGCTGGCAACTACGCCTTAAGCGGTTCGCGAAGAGCCAAAGAAAGCAGTGCCTAGGACGCCATTCATGGAAATTGGACCTTGCGGCTGACGGTTTTGCTCACCTGCAACTCTCGTGTGATAAGACAAATACATTGGTTGCAGTGTTTTTTCATGGACCGACATCGGCTGGCGGAGTGTCGCAGATGGCTGTTTGTACCTTCAGAGTATCTACATTCACGACCCGCACTGGCACCCATCTCGGAATTCCTTTCCGATCCTTGCAACATCAACTTTTCTTTTTGGGACGCGACCATTTGTAGTGTGAGATGATAGAGCATCGTTGTATGATAAACTTGTAGTTATTTGACATATAGCTATCCATCCACAAATATCCTCGAACATTATCAAATATCTATCACACAACACACCTGATTGTACCCAATCATGCCTGCTACTGGCGTTCATTTTGATACTTCACATTGCCTGTGCTGAGCCGAGCAGGTGATGCCAACGCCGAGGGAACGTGACAATTCAAACGGTACATGCAGGTGCCTGCGAACATGACTGGGCTGAGGCATCTCCAAGGCGTGTGAAGACAGTCCTTGATGATCCATTTAGGTCATGTGAACGATCTGTGTCGTTTGCGAACGATCTTCGAGATACAGGTAACCGTGAAGCGCCCTGTGAAGATTAACTGAATATCTTACGGCTCCTGGACTGTGCAGCTCGCACAATTTCGAGGATTAAGAATAGGCAATTGTAATTGCGTTGAATTTCCGGAGTTCCATCTTCGGTGGAACAGATATGCATCAAAGTGAGGTACAGATTACTTCCAAAATTTTAAGACTGACGTTGGCACTTCATAGCCATCGATATTAGTACGGTAATGTTGCTCCATTATCAAATTTCTTAACGTTCTTGTTATAGGCTTCGAGCTTCATGTTTATGCATCAGTCCCGGCAATAAATTGGAGTAGCGGGCCATCCATGATGGCCAAATCATACCGTAGAACACCTTGGTAGCCTTGGCTGGGCTGCCAGCTTGCGCATGGTGATGACCTTGTGCAGCCTTGCCATCATCCATGTGGTCGTAAGCAGGGTGCCAGATATCACTGAGCCCTATACTGTGGCTGGATCAGTCTGTTCGGAAGCTATCTGATTTGATACAGATGATCTTGATGCTTTACTCGTGTTTAATTTCTTTGCACACCGTCTCTGTGAAGCCCTTGGCAGCCAATTTACTGCCACAGTAGATGGAAAAGTTGGGTACACCTTTGAATGTCAGATTTATGCTCAATCATATAGTCTTGAACTCATCGATCTGTGCATCAACAGATGCCGCTTGTTGAATCACATTACCACTCTTAAGGCTAGGCATGGTTCCAATCACTTTCCTTGTCACATCTATGAGAACGAAAAAGTTGATCTCCGATTGTTCTCGAAGTTGCTTGTCAAATCGGGTTTCGAAAAGACCGCTGTAACCCCTGCCTGCGTTGTTGACGACGACATCAACTCGCTTGGATTTCTTCAGGGTAGCATCAGAGGCACCCTCGATGGTGTCGGACTAGGTACCGGTATGTGGGCTAAAATCCAGTTCAAGGATGCGAAATCTGTAAATTCTGTGTGCAGATAGTGCCAAAAACAGATCAATGCAACATTCGCAAAGGTTGACAGTTGGATGGAGGTGTTCAGCGCGTTGTCATCCGGTCCTTCACGAGGTGTTGAAATGGATGAGTTCGAGGTCAATTGGCAGTGCATTGTGAGGGCTGTACCACATCTAGACGCCCATGCTTTACACGGTGAAACCATCTCAACGAGAATGTTGCAGAGACCTATGTTGAATGCATTCGACGGCGGGTGAGATGACACCTGAAGAATATGATACATAGTACTAGCCCTGATGAGGACATGTAAGTGGTTTGAGTGGAGCCTCGACGCGTGAGACGCGCGAACATGGACGTCGCGCACAGACATGTTGGCGTCGACGCGAGAATCTGCCCCTCTGTAGTTTGCAACGCCGTGTGCCCTAGCAACGTGACAACAGTCGGTCCCAGTGAGCCCAGTATTTGCAGCGACGCCATCATTTGAACTACATCGAACTGTTGTCGCATTGCCAGTAGGATTGCCACGACGGGACACCCCACGACGTCCATAGTTACAACGATATGGCCGAGATAATTCGGGACGAAGAGGTGCTCAGACGGGTGCGATTGGCACAGGAGTTCTTCGATCCAGGTAGGATGCCAGTCAATGACTGTAGAATTGAGCTGTAATACTGACAAAGATGTAAAAAAAGACGATGTCACGAGACGCAGGTATACACCAATCCCTACTGTTCTGCTGCCGCATGTTGACACTTTCATAGTTACCGACCCGACATACTGCTTATGCTGAACCGAGGACAGCGGAGACTCACTGTAAGATGTTCCCTGAAGGAAGCATGCATGATTACGCTAACGGACTGTAGGTTAGCATAGACGAGATCCGCTCCCATAACCGTGAGCTCGCCGACGGCCTCCTGAATCAGCCCTTCGAATTCGTCGAAGCCTTCGACCGTGCCCTTAAGGATGTTGTACGCACCTTCCCAGATCGACCCAAATCCGAGACCAGCGACGATGTGGTATACTACTGCGCCTACATCGGTAGCTTTGGCGAATACTCCGTCAACCCTCGAACGCTCAGTTCCAATCAGCTGAACCATATGGTCTCACTTGAGGGCATCGTGACCAAGACATCGCTCGTACGACCAAAGGTGGTCAAGAGTGTCCACTACAACGAGACGAAGGGGAAATTCCACTCCAGGGAATACAGGGATCAGACAATGACCACGGGCGCAGCGAGTACGAGCGTGTACCCCACCGAAGATGACGAAGGAAACCCAGTATGTATACACCCGATCGTAAACTACAACTCATGAAATTAACCAGGCATAGCTTATTACAGAATATGGCTACTCCATTTACCGCGACCACCAAACCATATCTATCCAGGAAATGCCAGAACGTGCTCCTGCAGGACAGCTGCCTCGCTCTGTGGATGTCATAATGGACGATGATCTGGTAGATCGTGTCAAGCCCGGAGATCGCATTCAACTCGTCGGTATCTACAGATCGCTGGGAAACCGTAATGCTGGCGCGGGCAGCTCAACTTTCCGCACGCTTATTATTGCCAATAACGTCATTCTCCTCTCTTCCAAATCTGGCGGGGGTATTGCTCAGGTAAACATTACAGACATGGATATTCGCAATATCAACAAACTGGCAAAGAACAAACGAGTATTTGAGCTGCTTTCACAGTCTTTGGCTCCTTCCATCTACGGTCACGACTACATCAAGAAGGCTATTCTCTTACTACTACTTGGAGGTCAAGAGAAGAACCTTGAAAACGGCACTCATCTGAGAGGAGACATTAATATCCTCATGGTTGGTGACCCATCTACAGCGAAGTCACAATTGCTCCGATTCGTCTTAAACACTGCTCCTCTAGCCATCGCAACGACTGGTCGTGGTTCATCCGGTGTTGGTCTGACGGCTGCGGTTACTTCCGACAAAGAGACCGGGGAGCGACGCCTGGAAGCTGGTGCTATGGTACTCGCCGATCGTGGGGTGGTCTGTATTGATGAGTTTGACAAGATGTCTGATGTCGATCGAGTTGCAATCCACGAAGTCATGGAACAGCAAACGGTCACCATCGCAAAGGCAGGCATTCACACATCCTTGAATGCTCGTTGCAGTGTCATCGCTGCAGCCAACCCCATCTTTGGCCAATACGATACTCACAAGGACCCGCATCGCAACATTGCCCTTCCCGACTCACTGCTCTCCCGTTTCGATTTGCTGTTCGTTGTAACAGATGATATTGAGGATGCACGCGACAGGCAGATATCAGAACATGTTCTGCGCATGCACCGTTATCGCCAGCCTGGTACCGAGGAGGGCGCCCCCGTTCGAGAGGAGGGTGCTCAGCTGCTAGGTGTAGGTCTTGAGAATGGCGATGATGCCAACAAGCCTACAGAGCAGTATGAGAAGTTCAATCCCATGCTTCACTCTGGCGTGACCATCACAACAGGCAGGGGTTCTGCGCGCAGAACCGAGGTCCTCAGTATTCCCTTCATCAAGAAGTACATCCAGTACGCCAAACGTGAGAAGCCGATCCTCACTAAGGGCGCAGCAGACCATATCGTAGCTGTCTACTCTGCGTTGCGAAACGATGAGCTAGACGCTGGCACACGACGGACCTCGCCGATAACAGCACGTACACTCGAAACACTTATCCGTCTTTCAACCGCCCACGCGAAGGCCCGCCTGTCAAAGCGGGTCGAACAAAAAGATGCCGATGTTGCGGAACAAATTCTGCGATTCGCATTGTTCAAGGAGGTAGTTGAAGATGACCGTCGCAAGCGCCGAAGGACAGTCCGCGATCCAGATGCCATGTCCACCGACGGCGAATCCTCAGATAATGACGATGAAGATGGCGATGAAGCCGAAACCACACAACCCCGTCGAACAGGTGGCCCAGCCACGCGCAGCCAGCGAACAGGCACGACACGCACTCCAGCCGCCGAAGACAACGAAGCCGACGAACCCGAAGACGACGAAAATGAAGACCTCTACAACGTCACACCCCGAACCCAACGCACGAGCCAAAGAACCGCTCGCACACAGTCCTCCTCCCGTACAGGGGCAGGGACAGGTACAGGCCCCTCCTCACAAGTCAGCGCAGCCTCTTCACGTCCCGAATCGCAACTCCCGCCCACACAAACCGAGTCCCAGGAGTCTCAAGACATTTCCCCCGCCCGTCTGCAACTCTTCCAGACGGCGCTGGGTCAGCTCATCGACACGCCGTTATTCGACGGCGATTCGGCCGATGTCGAACCCCTCGTTGCCGCTGTCAATTCGAGGCTGGGCACGGGGCCTGGACGCACTCCGTTTGGAGCAGATGAGGCGGAACAGGCGTTGGAGAAGCTGAGTTTGGCGAATAAAATCATGTATTCTGAGGGTATGGTGTATAAGATTTAATTGCCTAGTTTGACGATGATGAATGCATGGTTGATGGGCTGTTTGTGTGTTTCAGACTAGTTTGTTATGTGAGGTGATGATGTAGATTATGTGGATGAGATGGCGTAATCATGGTGTTGCCAGTGTTACGCTCAATGCAATTTTTTCGGTGGATCTCATCGCATTTTTGGACGTCAATTGATACTCTCTATTTGCCGATGCCATGTGTCTTTCCTACCTCCACCATCGCTGCATATACAAATACACACATACATGTACGCCAATAAGATGCCATGCCAATATCAATCCCCAGGATTCACCAACCACTACATCGAACCTGCCACGTTAATCCAAACCCCAACAAACGCAAACAGAAACCTATTCTACACACCCAAGGGAGAAGGAGAAGAAGTAAACTGCAATAAAATTATACCACATCAGCCACCCCCCCTCCCCTCCAAAAACGCCGCCCAATCCGTCTCCCGAGGCAGCCCATCAACGCCCAAAACCCCATCCCCCTCCTTCCAACCCACCCACTTCTCAAGACCAAACAAATGCCTCATCGTCGGTCTACCATGGGGACAACTCCACGGCTTATCCATGCTGCCCATGTGCCTTACAATCTCGCGCATGCGCGGGGGCTGCAACGTCTTGCCAATCATGACACTGCTCCTACAGGCGCGACTAGCGAGGAGTTTACGGACCTTGGAGGGCCGTGGGATGTGTGGGGAAGTTGAAGTGGATGAGGAAGGGGGATTATCCAAGATGAGGGCGAGGAGTTCTTCGAGGTCGGTTGGGGAAAATGTGACTTCTTTTGACATGGGGAGGGCGGTGAGTTTTGCACGATGGCCGGCTTCGTCTTGGCTGTTGTTGTCGTTGGCGTTATTGGGGTTGGTGTTCATTTCGACGACGAAGCCGTTTGCGGTGAGTGCGTGCTGGTTTGCTAGGATGATTTCTTCTTCTACGGCGGTGAGTTCGAGGGGGTGCGGGTGCACGAGACGTTGGGAAACAAGCGTTGTTGTTGCGGAGAGGCGCTCGAAATTGTATTTTTCGTCGCTGGCGTGCTGGTCGATGATGAATAGGTCGGAGGTTGGGGATGTAGTGGTTGGAGGGCGCACGGCGATGATGAAGCCCAAGTTGAATTGGCCGATGATGCGCATTTCACTGAAGTCGGATTTGGTCACAGTGAGGCTGAGGCGCTCTTCAGGATCTTCTTGGGTAGGACCAGCCTCCGGGCTGAGACTATTCAGTTCGTTCAGATTGGACGGTACCGACTGACCGATGGGTTCGATGTTGCGAAGCTGTCGTCTGATTGTTTCAATGTCCGTTTCGACGACACGCTCAAGATGGACGGTCCAGTACTTCTTTTGCGTGGCCTTGAAGAGTTTGCTTGCTCGCTTGAGGTTTACCTGCGTAGGTTGAGCAGCAGCCTCTTCGGCCTCTGCAATCATTTGCGCAACTTTTGCTTCCTCTCGTGCTTTCTTCTCTGTCTCGTCGATGTATTCGTCATCTGATTCTTCTAAATCAGGGCGTACCTCCATGTCTTCTTGAACGACATCCATATCAGATTCACTAGGCTCATCTTCTGTCTTTATCTGAGGGTTCAACGGAGTGCTTGAAGACTCCATTGTGTCATCAGCACGTGGCGCTTCAAAGGCTTTGGGTGGTAGTCGCTTGTGTGGCGATGGTGAACCTGCTAAGATATCGACCATACTACTGTCTTGTACATCCTCACGTCCGCCAGCATCCTCATCCTCGCTGCTCTCGATTTGTGTCCCTGGCGCTGCGAATCCAGTTAACCCTTTTCGGAACGATTTCTTGGGAGTCTGGTTCAAAGGTTTGCCTGACAATGAGAATTTAGGAGAATAGACTCTCTCACGCCTCGAAGCTAGAGTCTGGCTCGATGTGCCAATTGTGGAAACAGTTGTGGCATCGCCTATTGTGATTGTAGCTTGCTGGACAGGCGTTCGCATTGGTCGCATACGATCAAAGGCATTCTGGATGCTACTCTGAGAAAGAGCCTTGTGGGTTGTTTGCTTCACGGTTGAAATAGGAGGTTCCGTCTCTTCCTCGACTGATGTGCGCAACGGTGCCGCAGGTAATTTTGCACGATGAGCCTGCTGTGATGCTATACGAGCATTAAAATCTTGCACAGCTTTGGGAGGTTGTGAAAGACGTATTGAGACATCTGAAGCCGGCTGTTCCGTTTCAGATATGGGGGATAGAGATCTACTATCAAGTGTTTTGCTCAATTCAAGAGCTTCCTCGGCAACAGAGTGCTGTTTAGTGATTACGGGGACTGTCTTTTGCTCAATGGTTTTCCAAGGCTCTGGGAAAGGGCTGTTCTTTCTTGCTTGATGCGAACGAATGTTTCCATCCTGAGCATCCTGACTGGCAAAGCGTTCAATGAGACTTGCTTTGACGAAGCCTGGATGAGTATTTGCACCAGGTGTATCCGGGCTTTCTAGCGGAGAAGCTACATTAGCACTCCTTGTTATTGCCTCTGGAACGCTGTCCATGTTCTCTGTTTCGCTTTCCTGGTCCTCGTCTATTGAACGTGTGCTGGTACGATTCTGTATAGTAGGTGGTTTGAACGTTGATGTTATTGGTTTCTTGCCAAGAAGTTGAGCTTGTGGTACACTCTGATTCTGACCTTCAAACAACTCAAGAAGGGCATTCTTAAGGTTCTCGAGTAGCATTGTTTGATTGTGCAACATGATTGTCCGCTTATCTGGGCTCACATTGACGTCGTATGCGTTTGTATCAAGTCTGATATCGGCGAAGACAAAGGGTGACTGCGTGATGTTGAACGACTTGTAGACCTCGTTAAAGGCCTTGGCCACTTGTGGTAGGTTGCAAGGCCGCGAATTGACGAAGAACATCTGGCGATCAGGCGTCTGTCGGCCTTCGCCTACCACAGGACGCGATACATGGCCCTCTATTCTCACGGTGCTTGAGCCAGGGTCTTCCTGAGTGCTCCAGTTTTTCGCACTTTGAGTGGCACCGGGCTGTGCTGAGGGGTCTAGTTCGAAGCTGAGGTTGAGAGGTATCAGTGCGGCAATTGTCTTCGCTCCATAGACATTGGAGATGTTTTCTTTCGTGCTGGGGTTTGCGTTCGTAGAAAATGCTATTGTCTTCTTTCTTGTGTACTGTCAGCAAATATCCAGTTGTGTCTGTAGAACGCACATGCTCACCCCTTGGGCATCATGTTGCTCACAGAGAACTTGATGCCTACGCTAATACATGCGTATGCATTCAGTAGCTGCAGAACCTTGTTGTACTCCCTTTTGATATTCTTTTCGAGCTCCTTCCGCCTTACGGGAAGGTTGTAGAAGAGCGTGTCGACCACAACGGTTGTACCCTGCTTCGCAGCCACCACAGATGTGTCTTTCAGCTTGCCTGACTGCTCAAACTCGAGCTTTGTGCCCTTTGGTCCATCCGACGCCCGTGCGGTGACAATATGAAAATGCGAGAGGGCGCATAGCGACGACAAAGCTTCGCCACGGAAACCAAATGTCTGGAGGGAGGACAAATCGTCATAAGTAGCCAGCTTAGAGGTATAATGCTTGAGTGCGATGGTCTCGTAGTCGGCCGGTGCGATGCCTGCACCATTATCCTGAACTTCTATAGAATCGAGCCCATTGTTCTTGAAGCGCACCTCTACACGCAATCAGCCATCAGTCATCAATCGGGTGGGGGTATACTCACCGATGGCAGTGGCGCCTGCATCGATGCTGTTCTCGACAAGCTCTTTGCAGACGGACTGCAGGTCAACAATAACCTGGCCAGACTGAATCTGGTGTACTGAACGGCCTTCGATGGCCTTGATTGTGGCCATGTCAATCCATATCGATGATTCAATCCACGACGCTCATCTAGGATGAAAGTGCAGCGGCGTGACACCGTGCAGTGCCTTGTACGCGTCAGTCGACGCGTCGTGCGGTGGCCAATAGGGACATGGCTCGCTTAACTTGGTTCATGGCGTCTCCAGTGGCCGACACTAGGTATTTACCTACCCGAGACCGATATTGAGGCTTCATGAGTCGGAGTCAAATGATAGATATAAGGGGCCCAAACACCAGCATGGACTACCTATGGTCGCAATTGAGTGTTGAGGCTGCTGAGAGACGTCTGGAGTACGATATACACTAGACTGCCACGTAACAAACATTAATTAACTCAGATTTTCAAAGCAGCAACTTGAGTTCAAACATCGCGAACTCTCCAAGACTGCCACCGGTAATGACTTGCGGGAGTCCTTGATACGATACGCAAGAGCAGATTGCCTCCAATTGGCCACGATGATGCTGGAAAAGTTGCCAACCGAGGTGCGAGGTCTTGTGTATCAACATCTTTGCATCGAAGATCGACCAATACCTGTGGGACCTCATTATCATTCCCGCAAGTATGATAGAGAAGAGTTCCAGGACTCTGCTTTAGTCGTACTTTCTGAGCAGCATTCTGGTGCAGATGTTGATGATGACGACGAAGATATCGAGTACGAGGATCAGGTTATCGAAACGCCAGATGGTCGCCTGAAACGTGACCACACCTATAAGCCCCCTTCCGGTACGTTTGGAAGCATTCCCACTCTCTAGAAAATTGAAAACATTTTTCCTTTGAGTCTTTGGCCAACTTTCCGATAAGACTAATCCAATGCAGATATGGTGCTTCCCAGCAGTCACATCTTCAACCCCAGATACGTGGGTGTCAAGATCTCTTTCGAGCTGCAAAAAGTGTATTACACAAGGAACACCTTCTCGATCTGTACGGTCGAACAGGGTATACGTAACTTTCTACAGTTGCATACCGGATATGCCATGAGGAAATGGAAGAATGGCACACCACCTTCTATGCCTAAAGACCTGATTCTCCAGCCGCCCTTCCTTCCAGGCGACTATGTTTGTAACCTACAGATCCGTATAAAAGCCGAACAGCTAAACGGGATAGCTCTTCCCGACATTAGCAGCGAGGAGGAGTGCCCGGAGAAGGAGAAGCAACTGCTGGAGTCCATAAGGGACAATCTTCTCGGTCTCGACGTGCAGAGTTTGCTTGGCGCTAGCCGCAAACTGAATATCGAGTTCATCATCATGAGCGCGTTGAATGAGGAAGGAAACGAGAACGGTAGGCAGCTAGTAGCTCAGCGCATTCAACATGTACTTGAAGCTATGAGGAACACTGTGCATGTTTTCCTTCATGAGCGTAGTAACTGCATGGTTCGAGTTAGACATGTAGATGATGGGCTGTCGCCGTTTCCTCGCGACCTCACTGACAGTTTTCTGCCGCCCGGGGAGCAATGAGATTGTAATTTTGCACACGTTATTCGCGCTGACCGCATAGGAGGACTCGTCTGGGCATGATGTTGAGTGGGACTCTATGCTCGAAGTCTATTGCGGTGCATGTTGCTATTTACCGTCGGTGGGGGTCGTAGTCAAAAGCCAAAAGCCATGGCGCCGATTAGGTTCGAGCAGGCCAACCCCAGGGCGCAAGTGCAAAGGAGCAGGTCGCTGAGTCGTACCGGTACAAGGGACAGGTATGCAGTGGCTGTACTGTACATCAATGCAGCTAGGTACGAGACATGATTAGGACATAGAGATGACTGCTGCGGTGCTATGAATCTCACGGACACATATAGAGCTTGTGATGGAAGCGGTCAAGAAACACGAGCTCATTGGAACATGGTTCTGCCATGGGACGAATGGTCGTGTCTTGTCACCATCGAGATCTACGGCATCATTACACCGTGGACCGTGGCCCTTCGTTAGTAACCTAGATCCAACTAGCGACTCGATGAGTCAGCACAAGGTTGCCTGACTATCTAATTACTTGTACTCTAGGGAGAGAGTATGTCACTATACGATAGCCATAGCCATAGCCTCTGTACACGGGACCTACACGGTACCTACTACTGTGCACCTCTGTTGTGTGCCTGAAGATCAGGTACGGCGGTTGAGAGTGAGTGAGGGTGAAACAACAGCCCTCGTACCGTACCACGACGGCTTGACAGCTGATGATTCGTTTACCAACAAAAAGAACGGCCCCTTTTTCAACATGCAGGCAGAAGTCAGTAAGCGACGTCTTGTCGTATAATGGGCCCTGCCTACTATGTTACTCTACCTACCTATCATGGCTTAAGCAGTACGGATGGAGCGGAAGAGCCGGAAGTTTTGCGGCTTCTCCAGTGCTCCACTCCTCCACTCCCTCCTCTCCCCCCTCCTCCCACAATGAATGTCAACATCGAGCGGATGGCTTAACTCCGCCAGCCGGATCGCGGGCTAGGAGCAAATGGCGCTAGTGTCCGAAAAATGGCAAAGGAGCCATGTCAGTCAATCACATCACATCACCTGCAGTGGCCAAATCTTTGCCAAGAAGTAATCAAACTCCCTCTTTTTCGCCCTCCCGGCCTGCGCGCTTTTCTCGAGAAAGGCGTCGTCGATTGACCTCCGACTCTGCGACTCTGCGATCCTGCGAGCCTGCGACTCCCCACGCCTTCTCTCTCCACCACAAAACACACGTTCATTACCCCCACCCACGCGACCCCAGCGGCTTGAAGAATGGCGGTAAACGCGAGCTTCGTCTCGCCCATGGCTGACGCCAACGTGGCTCAGGTGCTACAGCAATTCGACTCCAATGGCCTCCTTTCCTCCGTCTTCACCGGATTCACCGGCTTGAAGCTGGTGTTGACGCTGCTCGTCGCCGCCGTCGTGTATGATCAGTGTACGGCCGCCTCTTCTTCCACCTTGCACCCGCTTTGCGCCGGATCTCGCTGATAGATTGCTGCAGTCAACTACATCTGGAACAAAGGCTCAATTGTCGGCCCAGCATGGAAGGCGCCTTTTATTGGGCCTTTTCTCGAGTCTGTCAACCCAGACTTCAAAAAGTACCACGAAAAATGGCTGTCAGGCCCTCTCAGCTGCGTTTCCGTCTTTCACAAGTACGCGCCCAAAGATGGGTCGCGCCGCTACTGTGCGCACCTACCCCTGTCGTCCGCACACTAACAGCAGTACAGGTTTGTGGTCATTGCCTCAACTCGCGACATGGCCCGCAAAATCTTCAACTCGCCCGCCTTTGTCAAGCCCTGCGTTGTCGACGCCGCCTACAAGATTCTCCGTCCTGAGAACTGGGTCTTCCTCGATGGCCGCGCCCATGTGGATTACCGCAAGGGTCTCAACAGCCTGTTCACACGCCAGGCTCTCGAGCAATACCTCCCAGGCCAAGAGGAAATCTACAACAGCTTCTTCAAGCGTTATGTCCGCATTTCCCAGGAAGACAACAAGGGAAAGCACGTCCCCTGGATGCAGGAGTTCCGCCTCATGATCACTGCGGTCAGCTGCAGGACTTTTGTCGGACACTACTGCTCGGAACAGGCTGTCAAGAAGATTGCCGACGACTACTACCTCATCACAGCTGCCCTTGAGCTTGTCAACTTCCCCATCATCTTGCCCTTCACCAAGAGCTGGTACGGCAAGAAGTGTGCCGACATGGTCCTCGACGAGTTTTCCAAGTGCGCCGCGAAGAGCAAGGTCCGCATGGCCGCGGGTGGCAAGAAGGAGTGCATTCTTGACTTTTGGGTCGATAACATGATCGAGTCGGAAAAGTACCGCAAGAGGATCGAAGCTGGCGAAAAGGTCGACGACTCCGAGAAACCGGCCACGGTCATTCGCTGGTTCAGCGATCTCGAGATTGCCATGACTATCTTTACCTTCCTCTTCGCCTCGCAGGATGCCACCTCTTCGGCGGCCACTTGGTTATTCCAGATCATGGCTGACCGACCCGAATACCTCGACAAGGTCCGTGAGGAGAACATCAAGGTTCGCAACGGCGACATTCACGCTCCCATCTCGCTCGATGCCATTGAGAAGCTTCAGTGGACCCGTGCTGTTGTCAAGGAGACTCTTCGCTACAGGCCCCCGGTCATCATGGTTCCTTACCTCGCAAAGAAAGACTTCCCCATCACCCCTGACTACACTGTTCGCAAGGGTTCCATGGTTATCCCGACTACCTACATGGCCCTTCACGATGGCGACGCCTACCCGAACCCGGATTCTTTCGAGCCTGAGCGATGGATCACTGGTAATGCTGACCAGCAAACTAAGAATTGGCTTGTATTTGGCACTGGGCCGCATTACTGCTTGGGCCAGACATATGCGCAGGCCAACCTCATGTTGATGATTGGCAAGGCCAGCATGATGCTCGACTGGGACCACAAGGTCACGGACAAGAGCGAGGTGATCAAGGTGTTTGCCACTATCTTCCCCATGGTCAGTAAACCCTTTTCACTTTCGGCTATGGATGCAACTGCTAACATCTGACAGGATGACTGCTTGCTCACATTCAAGAACCGAGCACCAGCCTAATTTATTCCCTTTCCCTTTCTCGGCGCCGAGGGGCGCATTTTGAAGCGATATTCATCTTTGCATTTGTCATTTCTGGAGTTCAAGATCTTGTTCTCCTTTCAAGCTCGGTGGTTCACCTCCCTCCCTGCCTCTTTTATATATAATGATTATACCCCCCCAAGTACTTCAAGGAGGAGTGGCTTGGCGGTTTGATGAGCATTCTACTGGACGGGACTGGATACTATTGTGCTGACGAGGATAATGAGGGATGGTGGCATAGCTCTATACTGGAATATACTGGAAAATAGAGATAATGGCAGAAAGTGAAAATTGAACCTATAAACCATGATCGAGAGAAAAGCTGGCCATCTAGTGGAGAATGTGAGCGACGTTGGGTGGTACCGGTAACGCTTACGTATGCAGTTGTGAGTCGATGTGGTGGAGTCTCTGTTGGGATGCGAAAAGCGGATATCCGAGTGACTATTTGAGCTATGACCCCGATCTGATTAACGTGTTTACCTTCCCCAATGCGACAAACTTGACATGGTAGGGTTGTTCAGCCAGCACGCAGTATAAACCAACCGCCTGAAGCCTGCAGACGTGAGGGCTCGCACAACACGAACATACATCACAGCCGTCGCACTCATGGCGCCCGCAGCGTCCCCATCTGAACGTGAACGTGTCGGTCCGCATCCGTCGTATATTGAAATCGCAAAGCCGTACATTTTGCAGTCGCGCATACAACGATGCCTCGCCGACGTACACATGAGCGATGCAAAAGAGGATTCAGTGCGCCTTCAAGGCGTAACCTGGATTGACCAGGTCCGGCGAGCGCTGCAGTTGCCCATTCGCACTTTCAACACGGCCGTCATCTACTACCACAAGTTCCGGCTGCTACATGGAGACAACGAGTACAACTGGGCCGATGCGGCGGCGGCAGCCCTCTTCACAGCGTGTAAGATTGAGGACACGTTGAAGAAAAGCAAAGAGATACTTTGTGCACATTGGAATCTCAAGGTCAGCCCGGCGGATAGCCTGAGCAGCGACGATCCAGTATGAAAACAGCTATGTGATCTATGTTTGGCACATGGTAGACTGACGGCAGATGCAGCGCTTTGAAAACCACTCCAAGCTCATCATTGGGCTTGAGCGACTCATGCTCGAAAGCGCTGGTTTCGACTTCCGCAACCGATACCCCCAAAAGCTCATGGTCAAACTCGCGCGAGCCCTCCAATTTGACGTGAATAATCAGGCCAAAACGGCGTGGAATCTCAGCATCGATCTCTACCGTACCTTTGCACCACTCAAACAAACCTCGCCTACTCTGGCCATTGCTTGTATCGAGCTCGCAGCGAGACTGCATGGAATGGATGCCACCCGCTACGTCGACACGGGGGAAGTGCGATACAGCAAGTGGGCCACTACCAGAGCAGAGGTCATGGAAACGCTACTTGATCTTCTAGACTTATACACACACCACCGTGGGTTAACCTCCGTTGGTCCACTGTACACACTCGAACACTTCATCAGTATCCGCATTGCTCTCAACCAGGAGGCCGCTGCTGCTCACATCCCTCGCTATACCCTCTACGCATCCGAAGCTGCTTCTGGCGCCGAGAGTACCGGAAATGGCGTCAAGCCTCGCAACGGCATCGATCCGACAAGCCCGCTCACGCCTGCGACGCCGGGAACAGGATCACCTGGCATGCACCAACCGCCCAGATCAGCCATTGGTGTACGTGGCCAAGATGGTACAGTACGCTTCATGCTCGATGCCGCTCGCGCCCGCGATGAACGAGCAGAAGTCGATAAATACCACAGGGTAGAGGAGGAGGAATACGAGATCGAAGTACCGATTGACCACCGCTCTGATGAACGAGAAAGAGATCGACCACGGATTGGAAGAGTGCGTTGAGTACAGCGTGTGCTTTTGTTCTGCTTTTTTTGGCGGTAGTTGTAGCGCGCTGGGACAATAACTAAATTTCACCTTGTAGGTTTCTGTAAGCTATAAGAATAGCTGGAATACTGATAATGTCGCGGATAGTGACTACAGTACGCACGATACGACTGAGCTAGGCAGAGAAGAATACTGGCAGAGGTATCATCAGCGTCGGGCTGACCCTTCCACAAACCCTGGCGCCAATCATGACAGCAGAAACGTTGACCGTTCCAAAGACAACGACATCGAAAACGAGGCTGGTAAGAAATTTATTTTGGAGACACAATCTCACTCTCGCAAGTCTTCTGTCGACTCGATCCGCATTCGCTCACCCCAGCACCAGAACCGTGGCAAGGACGTACGACAAGAGGCTAAGACACACAGTCTACCTACGCGCAATGGTCAACATGGTGGAAGGGAGGGTCCACGCTTTGCATCCAGCTTGAATACCCACAATACCATCGGCCACTCTCTACGTGTACGATCCGTCAACCAACCTGAAGACGACTTGGACACCGCACTCCCCGAAGACGAACAATATGCCTATTATTGGCAAGATGACCGCCATCCTGATATCTCCCACCAAGATGTCACGATGTCAGGATATACTCCCGATGACCGACAGCCCACACCTTCTTCTTCTCCCTCTCCATCTCCCACTCCTCCTCCACCCGAATTTCGACCTCCCCTCACCCCGCGCCGAAATCAGCCAGACATCTTCTGTCAGCAGGAGGACCGAACCCCCGCGCAATTTGCCCATCACCACCGCCATCATCACCACCCCCGCGACCACACCACAGAAGCAAAGCCTCCATCAATATCAACCTTTCGTCCTAACCCCTTCGCAAACCCACATCCACCACACCCGCCACCCCCGCAGCCTACGCAGCCCACGCAGCCCCCGCGCCAAATCCCCCGTCCCACCATAGCTCACAGCAATCAGCAACAACTCGCAACAACACAACCCACCAACACTAGCAACTACAAGCTACCCACGCCATCATGGGAGGCCACTCCACCGCCCATGACGAGGTTCGAGAAGAGGCGGCGAAGGAAAGAGCAGAGGATGATTGCGCATGAAGCGCGGTTGAGGGCCATGGAGGCGAGATTGAGAGCTGAGGGAGCGGGGTTGGTCGCGCCTACGCTTGTGTCGATGTTTGTACCGGCGGTTGCGCCTGTGCCTGCTGCTTCGGGTCAGACAAGGCATGAGGGGTCAGGTCGTGGTTATGGGAGGGGAAGCGGTGGTGGTCAGGAAGGGCGTGCGGGCGTGGGGAGTTATGGTGGAAGCGCTGGTGGTCGAGAAAGAGGTGTAGCAAGGGGTACAACTTCCTACGACCGAGGTAGAGGTCGTCCTGCCGAAAGTAGGTTCTCTGCTTCTGTTGGAATGTCTGCTCGCGCTCCTGTTGCTGCTCCTGCTCCTACTTCTACTCCTGCTCGTGTGCCATCGTCTCTCCCTGCGTGGCGCCGCGTATTTGCTAGTAGTGGTAGTACTGGTGCTGGCGGCGGTCAAGCTAAATGAACAAAAATTCCAAAGCTCTTCCGCAGCAAGCTAGGCATACCCTCGACCAGACAAGTCCGTATCTGAAACAAGAATCAGAGAAGCCGTTGAAGTCACGAGGACGCTTTATACTTTGTCATCACGATTTTTCCAACCGGTCTTGAAACTCTTGGACTCGGTTTTTTGGACTGGGAGCTGGACATTTAGACGATGCATCAGGGAATGGATTATAGAGGGTTCGACTGATAATGGGAAGGATGATGTTGGGGGTAGATGTGTTATATATGGATCCATACCATTTCATCCCATGCGTTTTGTGAAGCATTTTGTTGGGAGCATAGGGCTCCCTATTCTGTCCTATTCTGTCCTATCCCATACATCAATCCATACAACCTGTCGTGGATAGAACCTCGAAACTTTATCCCGCGTGTAGGGCGGGTCCCGCGGCGAGTATACGCACAATGACTCCACTTTAGGAAGTGTGTGCAGTGGGGCGGAAGACTAGTGTATATGTCAATCACTGAAGATGAAAATTCTGAGATTTATTGATTCTTTTTTTTGGGGGGGGGATTGGTATGTGTGTTGTATGTGTGTAGGTGTTTAGTTAGAGGGTGGCGGAGGATGGGTGGGGGCCGGGTATGCGAGGAAGGAAGAGGAAGAGGCAGCAGGTCCTTGTGGGAAATTGTCCAGGGTGAAATAGTGTGGCTGTTGATACGGTCAAAGCGATCATCTGGCAATATCTTGAAATAGTAGCTGCACCAGGCCGTGTTATGCATTTCGTGGAGGACCCAGAGGGGCAAAGTCGAGCGGTCATGACATCGACTGTCGCGCGAAGAGACTAGGTGCACATGGCGGCAGCGTTTCATCGTGTGAAGATTAAAGTCGTCATGTTATCGCTCGATCTCGTGGGTATATTTTCCTTTCCTTCATTCACAGCCGTGACTCTTTTGAACGGCGGTGCGGTATGACCAGAACGTAGAGAACTCTCAAGCGCCACCACCACCACCTCCTCCTCCTCGACCACGACCCCGTCCGCGTCCACGCATGCCCCGGCCCCCACGATCGCCACGGTCGCCGCGTTGATGCATGCCACCTCTTCCGCCTCGGTTCGCCTGGTCCTTGGCCTGCTGCTCCTTGACCACGTCGACTATCTCGTCTGGGACCCGTAGATATTTGATCTGGTAGCGTAAAATCAGCACTCTTCCATCCACATGTGTGACGCACCCCAGCACCCTCTTTGGGATATGTATAAATATATACGCACCGTACTACCGCGCACATAGATCTCAGGCAGTCGCATGAATTTGTCGCCGTCGGCGCTGGTCTGGACTACTTCGCGCAAGGTGAGGTTCATCCACGTGTCGCAGTTTATAAGCAGCCCGTTGAGCGTTTCGCCGCTCTTGAGCTCGACGAGCATGGGGTGGCCCGTCGCGGCGGTTAAGAGGCCTAGTGGGAGCTATGGTCGAGGGGGAGAGGGGTCAGCGCGGTCTTGGGAAGATGGGTAGAGCTGGGAGTAGGATTGGACATGACGAACCATGGCGACTGTGTATGTGTATGTGTGGGTGTGGGTATGTGGGTTGGGGGCTTCCTTCACTGACTGACTGCATCATCGAGACGCTAGTTCTCGTGGTAGTCGAAGTCTTGGCAAAACTAGCGGACTTCCGCCCTTGAACCGTTCCAAGGTTCCTTCTCTTCCGCTTGATCGGCCTACCAAGCTTTTACTTGCATCCACGTCTCATCGGACACGACATTCTCCTGATTCCATGTCAAGAGATGATTGGATCTGGGTCGCGATTTGCTGAACCATCATCTCCTCATCTCCCCATCATTGCTGTTGTGCTCATGGAATGTTTTTTTTACAGAACAATTGATCAGTCATCGCCTATAGAGGGCACGTTTCAGCCCCCAATGTGAATGGGAAGCTAACCGCTCTTTTATGGGGAGGAAGCAGATCAACCTGACACATAATCTGTCTCTCTCGGCATACAGAGGTACGGACATCGGTACACGCCACAGATTCAATGCCATCGTCCTTCGCATATCGTTCCAAATCCAACCAGTGTCCCTCCGCCCGCACAAACAATCACGTTTCATCACAGTGCATTGATGCGCCATACTATACTATACTAACTATACCCTGACCACATCTCGCAAGGCGTACCACCTCCGCTCAGGCTCAGCGTGGCGCAGTCGACTCTCTACGCGGCCACCCCTCCCATCCTCATCGCCCTCCGTTTTCCGACTCCGACTGGTGCCTGATTCTCGACGTCTGGGAACGACAGGTGTTCCCACTGCCGTCCTCCAAATCCCTTTGTCTTTACCAGTGGATAGTGTGCATCTGTACCGTTGAACTTTTGTGGCATTCTCCTGCTTCTCACTCTTGTTTTTTCGTGTATTTGCCAGTATGCGGCGGTCTTTTAGATCAAAACTCTTATACGCTTGCGCATGGGCTGCTCCCGTCTTCTCCGTCGCACTCCCAAGCCAAGATCATCGTGAGGTTACCCGGCCACAAGGCAAGCTCTTACAGTTAGGTGCGACCCGCTCTTATAACCACTCAAGCTCCTCATGTTCGCCTTCGTTGCCACTGGGCATCTGCTGAACCGCTCCAGACTTCCAGCAAAACTACGCGCAAGCAACCTTCAATGTCCCCTGCACTGGCTGTGGTCACACGGGCCAGGATGACGAGTCTCTTGTAAGGCCCACTTCAGGCACCCAAAATAACTACTTGTAGCTCACCCCGCCCTTAGACCTTGAGCTTCACCAGCCATGCCCTCGATGTACCTTGTGGCTCTTCCAACATTACACTAAACGGTCTTCATCTTCCCCAAGAGTGGAACGGTGATTTCGCATCTGGCTACGGTTCTTACCCGGGTGTCACCAATCTCCAGCAGAATGCATGGTTCCTGCAGCACGACTTGGACCTCGAATGGGAGTCGGCTTGTCTTCACGGATACGAAGACTTGGACGAAGCTGCACAAGTGGTGACAGTGAACATCAAAGCCATTGACGGCAAACCTACTACAACACCATCTGGTTTTACAATCTCTTTCAAACAGCACACTTCACCTCCCTCTTTGCTCAGGCTTGAACCGGTTCCCAACCCGTCTGCCAGCAACAGAGAAGTTGCCGAGTCCTGGCGTGAACCTCCACAGTCTCTCCGTCTGTCTTTACCGAATACCATTACAGAGGTGAACGAGGTTGAACTCCAATCCTTGGAGAATCAGATTCGCGAGCTCAAAGCCCTTGAAGCCGAACTTGCGCAACTTCAAGCCCTTGTCACTGAGAAGAAGAGGCTTTTGAACTCGCAACTGAGGAAACAGGTTAAGACGTTTACCGAAGAACTCAACCAGTGTGACAACTTCACTTGTATTGTCAAGACCATTGCTCACGAAGCCCACGGCGCGTGGAGAGTTGCCTACATTCATTTCCAAACCGGCAATCGCCACTCACCAGGCATGGGTCGCCCGGAGGAAGTCTTTGCTCACGCGCATGACCACGCAACACAAATGTCTGGTGGTCGGTTGCAGGTCGAGCCAGCAACACCCATTCAAGCGTCCACGGTGGCTTTTCCGTCTTCAAATCCAGCAGAAACCAGGGCGCCCAATGTGCGATTTGGCTGCTCTGGAGACGGCTCTTCTTGCCCTGCCGTAGCTCCAGAGGAACTTCCACCCCGTCCCCCAAGACCGTCACCCTGCCTACTTGCCTTGGAAATTACCCTCGGTCTTCTCTGTTGTGGCTGTCTTATGGCAATAATCCGACACAAGTGCGCCAGCCTACGAACCCGCACCGAGCGCGCTGCCGCCCGAGAAGAGCGTTTGAATGCGCAAGCCTACCGTCGTGCCGCCCGCCAACATGTATGGCGCAACTGGTGGCGTGGAAACTGGGCCTCTCGCCGCAAGGATTCTGAACGCATCGTCGACTATGAAGAGAAGCGTGCACTGATCCAAGAACAAGAAGGGGTGCTCGAGGAGGCCATGCAAGACGAGATTAGGCAATTGAGAGTAGCCCATGAGATTGTCAATGATCTTGTCAGAGATGCCGAAGAAGGCAGAATAGTCAATCACGCGCCATGCCACTGTCACCGCCAACCACCCCGCGCACCCTATTCGCCGCTATCCACTGCCTCTACGTATCCGCCCACTTCCCTCCCGGAAATCCCATCTCGGCCACTATCCCGGACCGACAGCCTACCCAGTTATCGCTCCGGTGCACCCACCGAGCCGCCAAACTACGACTCTGAAGTCGACATGTCAGACATCGTGGCCAATGGCTTCCGACAGTACACCACGGCCACCAGATCGACAACCTCGGAAGTCAGCTCGCACTGGACACCAGACAGCAGCATTGTCGACGTGAGTCCGCGCCCAAGCGCCGACACGCTGAGATATCCACAGAGTCTGAGGAGTCTGCGGACTGGTGATGAGGATGGGTCGGATGAGTCGGATGCCGATTGAATTGATTGTCATTTGACGGGATCGATGCTCTCCATCGAGACCCTCACGACAGTCTTTGGCATTCGCAACTTTGCAAACCAGAGGAAAAGTCATCATAAGATACAATTCGGCCACGGCCACGTCTATACTCGCCTATGCGTGGGATACCCACCGCCCGCTCACACAAACCGTGCGTATGCTGTGTCTGCTTGCCACCAAAAGCGCATCCGGCGTTCTATTTCGATCCCATCAACAGCAATGCACGCCTTTCATTCTGCGTTATGCACGCGTGTCATGCACACGTCCACCTTTTTTTGTGCCCTATTTCTTCCAATCTAATTTAATTTTTCTTTCCCTCACGCAAGATATGAGGATTACCTAATAATTTCCCACCCCCCGCGCGCGTGTTGTTTTCATCTCAGCATGTTCCATCTTCATGTATCATTACCTTCTTCATTTCCACCTCTCCTCGTCATTGTAGCCTCGGAGTCGGAGTGGTGTCTTAGCCTGTTGGATGGATGAGAGATTTTGTCAAAGCAGGGCTGCTGGGATAGTCCTCGTTTGGGTCTTGCTCTGGAGCTTGGTCTTGGTTTGTTTTGTGGATAGCGATGGTGAGCTGGTTTGTTTTCGTCCTGGTCGCATCGGATGGGTATGTGGGTGGTAGAGATGATTTATATTAGAGAAGGTGAGGGGGATCCCAGGAGATGGAAACGCAGAGCATACAGTATTGGGAAAGTGTATTTGCTGAGGATACGAATATATATATACATCCTCACAAGTGTAGTTTATGGACATTTTCGGGACATGCGTGTTATGT